TTAACCTCCTCAGCTAATTTAGTTAACCCTGTTGAATTTTGGTTTACCTTGCGACTCATGAGTCGAATAGAGCGGTTTACACCTTCCTCTAAACGTATTGTTTCACCAAATACCTGTTCCAGGTCCTGTATCTTCAGCTGAGCTGTGTTGGATTTACCTATTAGTAGTTTCTTGTCAACTACATTGATTGGCGTTTCCTCCAAATTGGAAGAAGAAGAAGAATTTTGTGGTACCTTGGTACCCGCGGGCGTGATGCCCTTGTTGCTTGTGTCTTCATTACCAACCATGAAGACCAATTAATCGTTGCTTTTGTTGCTTTCTGATAGCTTTTAAATTTTCTTATCTGTAATTGATTCTTTGATTTAAATAAAAAAAAAATTAAAAAAAAATTCTTAAGTGTTAGCCTTGCTATAAGCTAAAGAGAACTAAAAGTGAGTCTCTAAATATTAGAATGACTCCTGTTTACAGCTTACATGAATGTTAAACAAATGTTGAAATGCTTCTTCATTTAAATGTTTAAATAACTGTGAATGCTTAATCATCCCTTTCGGATGTTTACATAAATGTTTAGATGCTTATCCTTTCCTTTAAACATTTTCCCATTAATTTATATTTACTTTACACTGAATTTTCTCAAACATAATGTTTAGATAAATGTTTAAATGCTTATCCTTTTTCCCATTAATTTCCTTTTACTTTACACTGTTCTTTTCCCAACAAACTTTTCACTTTTTTTTTAATTGTGATTGTTTATCTTTACTTCCGCTCTTTTCCCTTTCCCCTGCTCTTTGGTTTAACTTTTTTTTGAACCTTTGACCCCTTTTGGATTGGATGTAAAAAAAAATTTTGGTTCATACATTCAAAATTCTTTAAAGAAGATTTGGGAAATATTGTAAAAGAGGGATTTTATAATGAACGCGAAAATTTTGAAGAGAGTTACGAAAATAATAAAAAAAATCAAAATTGTTTGACAGTGAATTATTTAGGGGAAGATAACACGAATAAACAAAAAAAATTTTTTTTTTGAGTAGAGCAATGGATTTTAGAGCAATAGTTGAAAACTCCAACAAATAAAATTAAAAATAAATTTGTTGTAGAGCAATAGATTTTAACACAATCATTGAGTAAAAGAAAAATTTAATGTAAAAAAAAATTAGTTTATTGGGCAGTAGAAAGCCATATATAAGCAAATTTATTACCCTTATTTGAATATAGATAAAAAAAGTTTTAAATAATTGATAGAAAAAATGCGCTTTGCTTTTTGAATTATTTTTGTTAAGTCTAAACAGTTTTGCGTTTCTTTAGTTTTTAGCGTTTTGTTTTCTTTTGCAATGCGTTCTGGCGTTTTTTGACAGTTGAATGCGCCTGAAGTACGAAAATGCCAGATCGTATTTTTTTTAAACCCCCAAAAAATTTGGATTTTGACTGAGTCATTACAGAGGTACCAACAATACATACACGAAACGTTTCGATTATTTGTTTCTTATGTTTCGTATTATTTTTGGTGTTTCGTGATTTTTTTGTATTTTGTGAGACCTCTGATTTTATAATTTTAAAGCCGAAATAATAGCCAAATGCTAAAAATTTGCCCACGTTTATCGATAATTTAAAATTTTCGCCTGCGGCGCAAAATGGTGATAGGAAAGTTAGGGTTTCTTTTTTCTTCTATTTTGTATATGCTAGAATATTTATATAAGTGTTTAATTAGTCGTTGATTTAAATAATAAAAGTAAAAGATATATATAAAATCGAATATTTTGTGAGCGAAAAATTATATTGTGTTTGTTTAAAAAGGATTATAACATTTGAAATATGGTTTGATAAAACTTTTGAGCACTGATTTCAGTGTATTGTAGAAAATAATAAAATATATATATTGTAATGTTTATGTATCATATCCTATACGTTTTTATTAGAGTTGCTGGCATTTTTGAAAAAAATTTTTTTTGAAAATTAACCGTTCTTAGAAAATTTTGAAGCCCGAAAACAACATTGAAAATAAGCGATTTTATTTAAAAAAAAATTTTCCCTAAATAAAACCGGTATTTGCAACTTTAATTTATATGTATATTTAAAAATATTTGTGTAAAACTATATATATATTTTGTGGAAAGTATTTTGGAAGACAGACGGAATAAATAAAAAATGTTTTATTTGAAAAAAAAGGAAAAGAATAAAAGTCGTTCCTTTCTATCTTATGACACAGACAAAAAGGATTTTATTTATTTTTTTTTTTAATTTTCAGTCGTTACTCTTTTCCCCACTTTTATGTGTAAAAAAAATTGTTGTTCGCAACCTTTTTTTTAAATCTTTTTATTGGAATGGACAATGACTCAGCTAAAACTCATTTTCTTTGGTTTTTTTTTGTGTCTAGGGTAATGTCTTCTGACTAATTGATACTTTAAAGATTGGAAAAGAATATAAAAAAATATATATTTTTTTTGTTGAAAGTGTTTTTAAAGAAAGTAAAAAAAAATTTTAAAGAAATTTTGAAGAGGAAGAAAAAAAAATTGTTTTTCCGATTATTGAAAAAATTGTTGAAGAAAAGTATTTCTTTTTTTTTTGATTGTAGAAGAATTAGTATAATAATAAAAGGAAATTTTTCCATTGTTGACTTTTTAATAAAAGAAAAAAAATTTTTTTTTTTAAAAAGAATTTTGAAGAATTTTTGTTGTTGTTGAAATTAAAAGAATGAAGTAAAAAAAAATTTTTTTTTGAATTTTTGTTGTTGAAGTAATTAATTTTTTTTGTGTATATATTTTTATATACATTTATTATTTTTTTGTAGGCCCGTGGGCCTCATGCCACAATGGCAGCTTTTCTTCCTCCATTCCGCACCTCACCTGGATCCCCTCCCCACCGCCATGGCCAGTGGCGGGGGGAGGTGGGACGGTGCTACCAGTAAAGCTAGTGCTGGGCCAGGATGGTATTGGGATGTTGGGCGGGTTGCGTGCGATGTTAAGGGCCCCGAGAGGCGATGCCGATGAGTATAATGCGGAGCGGAGGGTAGGCCTTTCTATGCGCTTGTATAATGCTGGTCGGTTACGAGGCCGACTTGCCCGGGAATAATGTGCGCTGAATGATAAGCTCTTGGCTTCTTCTGCAGGATTAATGAATAAGCTCTCAGCTTCTTCGGCCGGTTATTCACTTCTCTATTGATTACTTTCCAACTGACTGGTGAACAGTCGACTGATCCCCTTTTCACTATTTTCCACTTAGTTTTATCCTAAGGCCTTATTTGTCATTCTCCTCCCCTTATTCAATCCTTTCCCACAGGAACTAAAGTTCCTTTTCTCCATCCTTGCCCATCCGGATCAAAGTACGCCTTACATTATTTTAATAAAAAATCACTAAAAGCTTGTAAAAAATAAATAAAAAAAATAAATGTTTGTAAAATAATTTTTAGTTTAAAAAGCAACTTTCTTTTGCAAACCAACTAAATACTAAATAAACTATCTAAAAATAAATATTAGGTATAGAAACAATTAAGACAATTAACCAAATTTATATAATGATATTTTATATAAATAAGGGTATCCTTTCCGTTTTACACTAAAAATTTGTCATTTATTAAAAAAAAATAATATTTTTAATAAAAAAATAAATAAACATAAAAATACTCTAAATATACCATAAAAACCTTTATTACCAGGGCTTCGACTGCGGATTTTTCCTCATTTTGCGGTTTTTTGATAGGGCGATGAGGATTATTTTTAAAAATGCGGATTTGCGGATTTTTGTGGTCTTTTGAAGATTATTTTTATATTTTCTTGTGGTTTTTAGCAAAAATGCCATTATTTTTCCGCTAAGACCTTCTAAAATCCTCAAAATTTTCGCCTGCGGCGCTGCAATTATCATCCTTTATAAATACAAAAATAATTATTTATGTCGATTAAACCAATTTTAGTTCATTAAATTTCAATTTAAATTATTTTTGACAAACAATAAAAAATTTGTAATTACCTATTTAGAATTTTAATTTAAAAAGAAAAACTGCTTCGGTTAAAATCAAAAATATTTTAACGTTTCTTTTGGTAACTTAAAATAAAATAAAACAATTAATAATTTATTAAGAAATTTTAGGTACGAGCTGCGTGATTCTAAACCTTTTTTTTGGTGAAAGATTATTTTATTTAAAATGAATAATTAGGTAAGCTAAAGGATATTAAATTAATTTAGTTTCTCTAAAATATAAACTCCTCCTTCAAACAATTATAACAATAATTTTTAGTTCACTTAATCATTTACAAAAATCCTTGCAAAATATTTATTTTAAGAAAGTGATTATTTAAAAAATATTTTTTTAAATATATAAATTAATTTGAACAAATTTGAGCATATCGGTGTGCATTAATTATTAAAATATATAAATAATTAAATAAAATTAATAAATATTAAAATATATATTTTTATTTATTGATAGACAGGTGTTTTCTTAAATGTCACTGTATATTTAAAATAATTAATTGAAAATACTTCCGCCAGTTGACAAAAAATTGGCAAATGAAAATTGAGTGAAGTTGTTATCTTCTCTTTTTGCTTTTGGGGCCTTAAATAAATTAGTTAAATTGGTTTATAAATAAATAAAAAGATTTAAAAAATAGGAATGACTCAAGGATATGAGAATGGAAATGTACAGAGTTTTGAAAATGTTTTTAATATTTCATTTTCCTTCATCGTTTTTGGAAATCCAACTTAGTTGTGATTAAAAAACAAAAAATTTGTATTTTTAATCTACTCTTGAACCTTTCTATTTTAAATAAAAAGTTGACAATGAAAAAATTTAAAGAATAAAAATATCGGTGACAAAAAGTAACGTTTTAATTCAACTAAATTAAAATGAGATCATATATAAAGGACATGATAGAGAATCAAATAACGAATATTATTAAAAATTTTCGGAGTGCGCACGCTTTGATCGGATATAGATGAAAAGAACTTGTGCTTTGGGCAAAAGTTCGCATCAACTTGGCTGTGAAGTTTGCAATCACCTTAGCCTCCAAAATAGACCAGAATTTTTAAATGTTTTATGAACAGTGCTTTAGCATTGGGAGGAACTGAAATTTTGCGAACACCGAATCTTTTGGAAAAAAGTACAATAATGGAACCGAACTTATAAGCCTGAAGGTGAATTGTTTGTGCTACAAAATGAGAATAAAAATATTAAAAAATTTAACTGAGATTACGTTTTGGTCACCCTGTATTTTTTACATAATTTTTTTATTTAAAATTTAATTAAAAACTACGCTCAGCGTAGTTCTCGAATAATTACCCCAGGTTTTAACTTCTTGTTGAAGGGTAATTGATCGAGAAAATAAAATTATTATTTAAACATTTAAAGTAATCACAACCTCACGACGTTTTCTTCCAGTAACAGAGCAACAATAAAGACGACGATCAAAATCTACAAGAGCTGAGAGTAACTGTCTTTTACGGCGGCCACAGCACGAGGAATAGGGTACTGGATGTTGCGCATATTCACTACAGCAACAACAAGTACCTCCTCTTTGATTATAATTAAATTGGGCATTTATATAAATTATTGTTATTAATTGAAGAAATGTTAAAAACAAAAATAATTTTATTTGTTTAGACATTTTATTTAAATCTAATTTAAATTATATATTAAATAATTAAAAGTAAATTGTGCTTTTGAACTTTTTCTGGGATCCATTAGATAATTAAAATAATAAATTTATATGACTGTCTTTAACTGTTCATTATACAAATTATTCTTAGTAAATTAAAGTTATAGAAGCTAACAAATATATTATTATAAATTAATCCAACAAAAATTTTGTTAGTTTTATGATAATAATAATTTATTTTTTAATAAGAGAAAAAAAACCGCCTTAATCATTGTTTTTTGATCAAGAAATATATAAATAAATAAAGAAGAATAAAAAAGTGCATATATCTTTTTATTTGGATATTAATAAAAAACAGGAAAAAACGATAAAAAATAATCAAACTATAAATATTTAATCTTTATCTATATTAGGATATCTGGTAATCTGTTGACTTTCTTTCATATTATTATTGAAATGCCAATAAAGAATATAATTAAGAAATGAACGTCGAATTAATTTTTGTTGTAAAAATAATTAAAATAAAATTAAAATTTATTAAATGATTCTTAAAATATTTAATTAAAAATAAAAATTATTTTTATTGTTTTAAACGGTCATAAAATCTAACTAATTATTAATTTCCCTCATTACATAATTTAAAACATTATATTTACAAAAAAATACTTGAGGAAAATTCTATATCTGCCGGGAATTTCTAAAGACAAATATTTGTTGTTACTTATGGGCTTATTTGATTTTATCAATTCTTAGTTGACTGGTTAAATTAATTTCTATATTTAATTTTTATCCCCTTCCGAATGCACTTTAGCCATTTTGAATTAACTGACTGAGAATTAAAAAAGATGCTACAAATAAAAGTTGTGATTTTAAGCAGAATTAGATTATAATATTTTCAATTATATAGGTATCAGGGATCATACTGACCCGATTCACGATTCCAGAAAATCGAGAATTCAAAATTTTTGTGAATTCAAGACCCATGTCAGGGTTTTTTTTGTCGGCGTGATCCCTGATATGTATGGTATTCTTTTGTTTCTCTAATTTAAAGATCTTTTAAAAATTAAAAAATAGTATCTATTAATAATATTTCTATAAAAATTAATTTCTATATTTAATTTTTATCCCTTTCCGAATGCACTTTAGCCATTTTGTTGACAATTTACATTAAATAAATATTTTCTTAAATATGTATATCTAGAATTTATTATCTAAAATTAGCAAATTAATATTTATTTTTTCTTAACTATACTGTAGGTTGCTAAAATCCTTAAATTACTTTTTTTAGAAATTAATTAAAAATATTTGCAAAAAGCTATTATTTTTGAATTTCTTTATATTTGATATTATACAAAAAAGGAAATAAAAATAAAATATTAATTAATTAAATAGGATGAAGTTTTGCATTTAAAAAATAATTAAAGAAAATATGCAGAACTTGAATTTCGAATGCCGGATGTTGGCTTAAATAAAATTCGAACGCGAGCCTTATTTTTTTAAAAGTATATATATTTTAGAAATATTAGCTAAATCTTTTTATATGTTTTTTAAATTTTTTAAAACAAAATTTTAAAAATTCTGACTGGCAACCCAAACCATAGTTAATAGTTTCGTCCTGACTCCAAGAATTTTAAATTAAAATTTTTTAAAGATAATATATTCGCAATTGTCATGTACGGAAAGTTGTCCAAAGTTGTTATATTTAAAAATATTTTGAATAAATTTTTGAAAAAATGTCTAAAATGTTATTTAAATAAATAATATTTAATTAAATATATACCTAATTACTAGAGATTATTTTTTTGAGAAAATTCTTAGAAAAAATGTTTTAATCAAAAAAGATTAAAAAGATTATAAACATAATTTAAATGAACACTTATAATATGTATATTTCTTTTTTTGTGTACTCACAAACATTTTGACGTTTTTCTCACCCAATCCAAATTTAAATTCTCAATTTTTTGAAAATAATTTTTATTTTTGTCTGTTACAAAAAAATATTTAATTTTATAAAATGAACAAAACAAAAAAATACAAAAATTACCGATCATCACGAGACTTTCTTTCAAATTTCCCTTTTAAATTCTTCAATCTTCTTTTTTTCGTCTCACTAATTAAACGTCCGTCTCTCATTTTAACAAAAATTTACGAGCCAAAATATAAAAAAATTAGAAAAATAATTATTTTTTGAAGAAATAAAGCGTGACTTTAATTTTGAGACCGAAGATTTAAATAAAAATTTTTTCTCATTAATCGCTTAGAAATTAAACAAAAATAATTTTTATATATTTCCTTAATGTCTTTAATTTTATTTATTTTTAATTTCCTTTTTATATAATTAGACAGACATTTCCTCAAATTAATAAAAAAAATATTTTTGGGTTTAACAAGTTATGTTAATTTAGCTGAAATTTTTTAAAGTTTTGGTTTTGAATTTTGTTATTAGATTTTTAATGAATATTCTTGACAAAACTAATTATTTTAATTAAAAAATTTCTTTTAAATATTTTTTTAAAAATTCTTGTTTTAATTTTCTTAATTTTATAAATTGTCTTTTAAAAATCTCATTTTTTAAAGTTTGTTTTTAATAATGACTGTCAATTTCTAAGAAAATTAAATGTCCAAATTCCTTATAATTTTAATATTTCCTTTTAATCCATTCTTAGAAATTTTTTGTTTGAATGTACTTTAATATTTATATAAAAATATTTAAATATTATTAATAGATAAATATTTATTATTTCATTAAATTTTTCCATTAAAATTTTTCCAAAAACATCCGTTCAATTTTTGCAAATTCCAAATAGAAAAATGTAAGTACTTTTAATTGAGTCATCATTTACTTTGGCATTTTAGAAATAATATTTAAAATTTATCATGTAATGTTTTTCCTTCTATTTTTTAAAAGTATCTTAGGGATTAAGATTTTGGTTTACAGTATGAATTTCTGAGTAGTTTAGAAGATATTTAGAATAATAATCGTAGTTAGAAGGATCCTATAAATTTGAAATCAAAAATGAAAGCAATCATTCGTTATTGTAATACATAAACACAATATTACAGTATTTTCTCTGAAATATCCCTCGGGCTATTTTTCGATCGACCCTTATAGGGTGGCTATTCTAGAGGTGGCTATATTTCGATGTCAAAATTTTTTGAAAACTAAAATTTATTGAAATTATTCTACTTACCGTATTTCCTAAAATAGTACTCCCGGGAGTACTATTTTTCAACCCTCCTCCAAAGGGGAGTACTATTTAAGGGGGGAGTGCTAATTCAGGGGGGAGTACTATTTTTCAACCTTCCTCACTGATTTATCTTGGGAAAATTTATTTCAAAATTCTAAATGTCTAAATCAATTAGATTTCTTAATTTAAAAAATGCTGGATCCGTACATAGATTTTCAAAAAAAATTCCTTTATAATTCGCAAAAAATATCCAAATTATTATAAAATTGAGCACATGGCAGGACATTTAAACACAAGTGACTTAAAATAAGGATTATTGAGGGATATCAAGAAGTATATCAGTGGATTTGGAGTGGGGATTTAAGCTATAAGGGGATTTAAACAATTAAGAGTGAAGCATGCTTTGGACTAAGGTGGATATCGAAAATTGATACATCACTTTTGTTCTTTCGATATCCCTTCGAATCTTATGATATCCATATTTGGCGTAATATCAAGGGATCAAATTATGTAAGTTGGAGATCAGTAATTTGGATATCTGAAAATTCTTGAATTAGAGGTATCGAAATAAAATCGTTGGGTTGAGGAGGATTCATGATTCAATTTTATCTCTTAATCACGCTTAATCAACAAAAGACTACTAATATGACTCATCCGTCATTATTCCCTCAAATTCCTTTTCCGCTTTTAATCCAATGATATCTTTTAACTCGCCTGATCAATTCAGAACCCCTTTTATCACCCGATATCAATACACTTATATCCCTCAAATCCACTTTTATCCAGCCACTTAATCACAATATACCTATCTCCTTAATCCTCAACAAATTTACGGTTCGATTTCGGTTAACAGGAAGTTTCGGTTCGGGTTTTCGTTTTATCGGTTCGGTTTCGGTTAACAAAGAATTAATTGAAACCGACAACCATAATTAGAGTAAATGAAATAATTTAATGAGTCTTTTATAATTTTTTCAAATATAGGGGAAAAATATTTTAGGAGGGAGTACTATTTTAGGGGGAGTACTAATTCAGGGGGGAGTACTATTTTTCAACCCTCCTCCAAAGGGGAGTATTATTTAAGGGGGGAGTGCTAATTCAGGGGGGAGTACTATTTTAGGAAATACGGTATATTAAAAAATTATCCTAAGCTTATGAAATTCTCAAAATTTCGAGATTTTTGGCTTAATCTCACCATTAAAATCACAAGCACAATCGTGTCAATATAAAGAGATTTGGTGGAATTCATTTCCTCGATAGAGATATAGAGGATTCGGGTAGATTAAATGTATATCTGGATATGCAGAGGATTAAGGGGACTATAGAGGAATGTGGGCATGATATCGAGTCATGAAGAGGGGTTAAAGAGGATATCGAGGTAAATAGGTGTATTTGAAGGTCCCAATCCTTAATGCCCACAATAATATTGTGAGTTATCCACAATCCAACAGAATCCCCTTATATACCTCAGTATCTTTACAAATCCACCGATCTGTATTCCTTAGGAAAGAAGGAATATCTTACAAATCCTGGTGTTTGAGAACGTTTTATTTTTTTAATCCTTATTTTCAATAACTTGAATATATATATCAGGCAGAGGTGGGTCGGAACAGCCCGAGGTGTCGGAAATCGGAACTGTCGGAAATCGGAAATGGCTCAAAAGTCGGAACTCGGAAATCGGAAATCAAAATTTTTTTTCGGAAATCGGAAATCGGAAGGAAAAAAACGCCGGAAATCGGAAATCGGAAGGCGGAAATCGGAAATAAAATTTTTATTTTCATAACTGAAATTTATTTAAAATTGTAAGGTGGTAAATTATGGGCCTTCTTAAGTGTAATTTGAGTGTGTAAAGTTCTTTTTGCAACTCAAAAGTCAAATTCGAAGAGATTAAAAGAGATATTGTGGGATTTGGTAGATTAGACGGGATATCAGAGAATTTATAGAATTAATAGGGATATTTGGAGTTTAAAATTGAGGACTGATAGAGCCTATGACCCCTCGTAATCACACGATATAACTCAAAGTCCACATTAATCTAACCTAATCCTCCGATATACTATTCAACTTCCATTTACAGCGCCGCAGGCAAAAATTTTGGGATTTTTGGGAGCCTTAAGCCAAAAATCTTCAATTTTTTGCGCCGCAGGCGAAAATTTTGAGAATTTTGGAGGTCCTTAAGTTAGATTTCTTCGAATTTTTGCGCCGCAGGCGAAAATTTTGAGAATTTTGGAAAAATCTCTAGTCGGAAATATGCTTCAAAAATTCTCGGAAATCGGAAATTTTTCCAAAATTTCGGAAATCGGAAATCGGAAGGAAAAAAACGTCGGAAATCGGAAGTCGGAAATCGGAATTCCGACCCACCTCTGATATCAGGGAACACCGTAAATAATTATGCGCATTATGTATTTATTAAATACTAAATTTAATTTAAAAATTCTATACCGTTTTAATTATTTTAGTTTCTCTTTAATTAATTTCTAGAAACTTATCTTTATATGTAAAACTTTTCCATTTAAATAATCCTTAAATTCTGAAAATATTTTAACAAAATCTTTATTCATTAAAAGATAAGTAAGTTGGAAGAAGTGTTTGTATGTATATTTATTTAAAAACCAATTGCTTATTTAATTTTAGAATTGTCTTTTTATTTTATTTAATATTTATCTAAATTAAATTTATTTAACATATTTTTTATATATTTTTCCGAAAACATTATGCGTCTAATCAAATTTTTATGCGTCTAATCTATGGGGATAAGTACCCTGCGTGTCTACTTACCCAGAGTATGACAACACGCGCAATAATCATAGGTTTTAACACACAAAATCGCGTACTCATTGTCATAAATTTAAGTTATAAAAATATGATTGGACGCATAAAAATTCGTTTCGACGCTTAATATTTTCATTGGGTGTATATCCATCTACTACAAATATTTATTTATAGTCTAAAAATGTTAAAAATATATCATTTAAAAGATAAAATAAATAAAACTTCCTTGTTATTAACTAAATATTTATTTTTAGGGTTTACATATAAATACATTTTTTTTCTAAATTTTTTTGTTTGTTACGTACCTGAATACACTTAATCCTTAACAAAATGTATATTTTTAGTATCTAAGTCCGTCTATATTTTAATTGTTGCGGATATAAACTTTCAAATTAATAACCGTTTTAGTATTTTTTCCTATATAGAAAAAGTAAGTTAAAAACATCTTACTTTGTTCATAAACAATTTAAGGATGCGATGTAATAACCGTATAGTACAATTATTTTGAATATTTTTGAGAGATATCTATGTTTACTAATAAATAGTATTCATTCGGAAGTTGCTGTTCCGGATGACCACCTGTAAGGTTCCTCCCAATATCTAAAAATTTATATAAACAATGAAATCCTATCAAAGTTCTAGTCTGTCTTTTTAAATACTTAATATTAAAATTTAATTTGTGCACAAGAAATTATGCACAAGCTTTACTCAAGACACGGAGATCATCTATATTTTTACTGTATGCATATTTTTCTTTTTTCATTTTCTGAATTAAATTACTTAAGCATACCGTAAATTCTCTAATATAACCACACTCTCTATTTGAAGCACACTCCCTAGTAAAAGCACACCCTACGAGTGGATCGAAAAAGTGGTTCTATACTATCATTTACGGTATATTTATATAAAATCCCTTAAAACAATTAACCAATCATCAGATTATGTATTCATAAGTACCTTTTTTGGAAAAATATTAACATAAGTGTGTTTAATCCTAAAAAAAGGGAGGAGTCTTCTTTTTGCAAACAAAACAAGTCTGAGAGGGGCTGTCTCATTTTTATTTTCAAAACAGAAGGAGGCATTTAAGCTTCTTAATTTAGAATATAAATATTTGCTTAAATGGCGGCTTTTCCCTCATTTAGAAAGCGATTTAAAAAAATTCTAGAAGAGGCTTTATTTCACGCAAAATTAATTTAATTTACTATACTTTAATTATAAAAAATTTTTTTTAATTAAAAAAATATTTAATAATCTTTTTTTTAAATACTAATTTAATATTTAAATTCAGATTTTCCTATTTTTAGCATAATATTATTTAAATAATTTCGCAAATATTAGTTAAAATGCTAATAATCTACAAAAATATTTTTCTACCATTTTTATTTTTTATTTTTCAATTTAATTTATTTTTGATTTATTGCCCAAATGCTCAAGCTAAGAAAGTTAAAGAATCGCTAGCTATAATTAATGAACACAAAACAAATGAGGTTTTGGTCGAAGAAAGCAATGCTTCATCTGTCCGTCGACAGCGTGATCTCAAAGTTCCGGAGGAAAAAGAAAATAAAGAAAATAATGAATGCACAATACGTGTTAATAAAGTAAATAATTAAATTTTGATAATTAATTTGGATTAGGACCTAAAGATTCGGTTCACCTAAGTGTCACAATACAATTATGTTATACACCAGACTTGCACATGGATAGAGATATGGATACAGATATTATAAAAATCCCTGCGGATATCCGTCTGTATCCGCCGTAAATAGGCGGATACGGATACCAAAATCAGTATCCGTGTGCTAGTCTGTTATGCACACAACACCTAAATTAGAATTTAAAAATTTTGGGTTTTAAGCCAATGGAAGTTTTTAAGCCAATTATTATTCATTTTTAAATTTAAGGTAATTGAATATCCAGGCAAATGTGTAAGAATAAATGGAGGCACAGCATGCAAAAACGATCGTTTCTTGGATCCATATAACAATGAATGCTGAAATTGTTTTCCCAAAATATTTTTTATTAAAAATAATTATTTTTTCATCTTTTTTTATAAAAACGAATTAAAATTACACTGCCGGAATAAAAAAGTGGGACAGACTAATTCATCGAATCCTTAGAAGCCTTAAAACCGATTTTTAAGTGGCCTTTAAATGGACATAAATTTTAATAAAATTTGTTTTTTCCGGCACTTTAATTGTTAATACAGGATTGAATTCACAATATTTTTTTGATAATTGAAAATAAAAAAATAATTTTAAAATTATGTTTTTATATAAATTAAGCTTGATATACTTTACCCGAAGATGTCCATAGTTTAATTTATATTGTTTTTTGGAGAGGACATCCGATTCCACTGACCTTGTAAATACATATCTGATTACTTTTTAATTTTACTTTTTTAAAGTTGTGTTTTTAACTTTTTCTTCTGAAATATTCTCAGTAATTCTGCCCCTGAGAATTCATATCCGAGGGCACTTTTAATATAAATAAATTTATCAGTACATTAACTTAATGACTCATTGAAAAAGAAATTTGATTTAAATATTTCGTTTAAGGTACTTAAATTAGAGACTGAACCGAGATCAAGGTTATGGAGAATCGGATTTTGAAAATAACCGATTTCAATTCTCATACTACTCCTATTCCGGTCTCTACTATAAATATTAATTAACAACAGTTGTTTTGAACTTTTTCGCATTTACTTCTAGAAATATGAAATAAATGGATAATTAAATTAATAATTCATATTGATGTTAAAATAAATTTCTGAATAAAATTAGGCTCAATGTAATAAAACATGAGAAACAAAAGGCTAAGTTAGAAAATTATGATCTTTAGCAAAACTTCCTAATAATTGAAATTTGCAATTTAAAAAAATTTGCAAAGGTCTAAAAAATATTTTTTATTCAAAAAAAAATTAAAATTACAAATATTTTATTATTAGTTTAAATCAATTGAGTTGCGTCTCCCATCGATAATCAACTGGTTTAAAATCCCAACGATCTGGATGTCCAAAATGTTTGACTTTAGGAGCCTAGAAATTTATTTAAAAAATAATTATTATTTAAAAATTTAATAGAATGGAATTTATTTACCTAACCTAATTATTTTTTAAAGGAAATAGTTAACAGATTTCATTACTGAATTTTGCATTGATTTATGAGATAATTTTATAGGAAAAATCTATGAGAATTTTTTAAATCTTTTCAATTATTAATTTACCAAAAGACTCGTTCTCCAATCAAATACAGGAACATTTCCATATGTGGGACCACTCCAAGCACGAAAACGTAGTTGTTTTGCTAATTCATAATTAGTTCCCTAATTAATTAAAAATATATTTTCTTAATTAATTAAATATCTACTTTATAATCCAATGCCCCGTGGTTGACATGTCCCATGCCTGGAAGTGGATAAGTGCCGTTTGGCTCATTTAAATCACCACGAGATGAAATTGCTAAATTTAGAATTTTATTTTTTGTGTGATAAATAATAAATCGGACCTGCTTCTGCTGTATAGGGCGGAGAACATTTACACCGACTAAATTCATCATGTTTATAGTCATTATATCTTAAATAAGTAATTACAATTTATTAATTTAATAAAAATTAAATAGAAATTAGCTCACCTCATTAATTTAGTTAAAGTATCTAAATCAATCACTTTATTATGATCTCTAGCAAAAATTTTTGCCCGAGGACAGTCTGTCCAGTTAAACCAGTAAAATTCATTTCCTTTTGCTTTAAATCCACTAATCCTGCTAGCTTTCTTGAAAAATGGAATGTTATAGCTTGCAAAGTATGTCTTCTCTTTTAAATATAAACTCAGATCCTGATAATAGACATGGCCGCTGAAATTAATATTTTGATTAGAAGATTTCTTTAATTTTTAAAAACTGAAGAAATCAATTCGATTACTGTGAGTAATTTAAAAAATATTTATTTTAGTCATTTTTGTAAACAATTTTATTAAAATTACAAGATTAAAAGAATATGTACTTTATTTAATTTTTTATTCTCCCCTCTCTCCCTTACCATACCTCTTATTGACCATTAAATAATAATTAATATAAGTGACCAATACTGTAATAACTTGTTGAAATATATAACCACTTATTTTAAGGCCCAATAAGGATAAACAAAGGTCCATAGTCTAACAGGAAGTTATAGAATGTGAAGAGATTTTAGAACGAAAAACATGAGAGTTATTAAGATATTTCACGGTAAAAACATGACTAGTGGCTAATTGCCCTAAGATTTAAATTATCCTTCGCCCAAGCAAAAAAAAACAGAGCTGAATTTACTATTTATAAAATTTTGAGATTACGATTTCAGAATATTTTTTCAAAATGTGTTTCAGTACCGTTAGTCACGTTTTGATTGATAAAAGTTCGTTTTCGACAGTTTTTGTTTAAATATAATAAAATACCATCTTACAACCTTTAAACAAAATTAACAAAAATTTCCCTATTTCTGAAATTCCTATGACTTTTTCATTTCGATTTAATTGTCTAAAAGTGAAAAGTAAAGGAATTGTACAGAATAAGACCTTAATATTAATTTCACAATTTTCTATTCGAAATAAATACATATAAATTTTAACTTACGGCATTTGTTCCAAAACATAAAAAAGTCCAGAATCAGGTAATGGCTTTTCTGGAGTAAATCGTTTGTAGTCCAAAATGCCCCATTGATTATTATAAGTGCCAGAATTGTAACGTTTAAAAATTTGGCACCATTCGCGAGGTGTTCGTGATAATAGATTTGCTACTACAGCTCGAACCCAACAAAGTATCTTCAAAATTATATTAATTAATTGTCCTTTAATAATTAGAATTACCTGTCCTTGTGTTTTTGTAGCTTCATAAAGTGATATATTCCAAACTTTTACTGTTGTTTCTATTACTGCCTAAACAGACTCAAAAATAATTTTACTAAATATTTCTTTACCAATCCTGTACTAGTCAAGGCAAAATCGTCAGATGAATAAATAACTCCAGGATATCCAGCAAATGTACTTGTATGTCCAGGATAAAGAATTGAATCTAAATAATTAATAAAATTAATTTTCAGTTTAAATCAAACTAACCAACACCAAATTTGTAAAGTTTAAGCATTCGAAGCATATTTTGAAATCCAGACATTGTAACTAATTAAAAAATGATAAGGAAATTTTTTTAGAAAATATTCTTTAATTTATTCAAAATGAATCCTTATCTACTATTTAGGATTAAAAATAAATTTAACCTTGTGATATAAACAAATCAGCATTATTAGGGGCCACCTAAAAAGATAATCTGGTTTTAAATAAATACGTAAATAAATATTATCTTTAAAAGTTAATAAATATTAAGTTATAATTAATATTTATTTAAATTAGGATTTATAGTGGTAGGGAGAATTCTTAAAAATTAATCCACACAACTCTCGTTCCTACCAAAATTTGAGAGTTTATGAGCGAAAATTTAAGATTATAAGCTTTTAATTATTATTTTAATGGATTTACTTAACAAAAATCCATCTTTCTATGAATTAAAAAATGTTTCCATTCCTTTTACTAGATTTATGAGAAATTCCTTGTATATTAGGGTTGCCGGTTCCTGAAAATTCCTAGGATATCAGAAACCGAAAAATTTTGGTTCTTCGGTTTGGTCCAGAACCGACATCCTATGTATCCTTGCATATTAAGTATTATCACTAAAAATCACACAATTTCAAATGATTTAAAATATTTTTTTGTAAAAAGTATAAAGATAAAATTATGATTAAAAAATATATATAAATTTAGAAATCTAAAAAAATTTCACCTTAATTAATCCTGAACACCTTCCACCAGTTATATCATCAGCTGGATCTTTTGTTTTGTTTAATTTGGATTCCAAATCATAAAAGTCTCCATTTGAATTTAACTGTTAAATATGTAAATTAGCGAATTTCTGAGATTCTTAATAAAATATTATTTAAGTAAATAACTTACCAACATAACAAAATGTGCTTCGTATTGAATAGAGGGATTAAATTTTGATGAAGAATAGCCGTGCCATATACCTGTTAATTGCATATAGGCCATTTTAACCTAAAAAAATATTTTTTTTTCGCCTTTTTAAAATTAAATTACCGCTTGCCAATAAGGATTGTCTTTTGCAGCTGAATCTATTTTCTTCTTAACATATTGCATATTTTCATAAAGAAAAATCATCAATTTTTTGCAATAATTTTGATATCCTTTGCAGTAATCTTTCACAGTATTTTGGATGTGTAAATGTAACACCCGTTGAGTTAAGACTCCTGTTTTTAATAAAAATATTAAAAATTGTCATAAATTCGAGGATAGAATTTACGACACAATCGAGATATGTATGAAAAAATGTAAAATTGGCAAAGAATTTTGTTCTAGAAATACTTAAGGTTTAATATATGAAATTCAAAATTGTCTAAAGACTAGAATCCAAGTATAATGTATTGAAATACAACTAAGATCACGAGTCTCCGATTAATTCAATTGTTAATGTAATAGGGGGTTTATTCAAAATTTGATACAGGAATTGAAGAGCAGCGTTTTTTAAATATATTTAATATCATTATGCCGATACCTTCAATATATCCAGCAGCATATGCTTGAAATCCTGGATCATATTCACCTTTCGTTTCAATCTTAAAGTTAATATTATTAGTCATAAAAATTTTAAAATAAACAAAAATTTTTTATCAAATAATTTAACCTCTAAATAAGACCATCCAGATATATTTATTGCATTACGAAAACGCCCCAAAGCAACTTAAAATTTAACAAAATTTGGAATTATTTTTTTACAGATTTGCCTTGATATCTACAATCCAAATTATTCACAACCATTGGTTTTCCGTCAATAAAACAAATACTTTTGTATGTATAATCTGTATCATATCCTTCTTTTTCCTCCTGCAGAATTTCCTGTTTTTCTTCAGATAAATCCTTTAATTAATTTATTTAAATTAAATTTATTCTGACATTTTTAAATTTAAAAGACTTTGATTTAAAAAATATTCTTTCTTTTTTTACCAAAAATTTAAAAAAATATTATTGATCATTAAAATTTTTACAAATAAGTCATTGAACTTGAAATCTTCTAAATTTGTATTTTGTACTTTATTCAAAATCTGGTCTCTCGCCCTTTGCCAGAAAGGAAGTCTTTCAGAATTTATTAAAGTAACTAAAAAAAGAAAGATTAAAAAAATAATGTGTGAGTAAGGATCTTATTACGAAAGATTACAAATAAAAAATAGGGCTTTAACTTTGAGAAAAATAAAAGAAATTATTAAAATTTTAAAATTATTATTTTAAATATATAAATTATTTTTATTAATTTAAATTGATAAAAGTTTATCCAGCAAAAAATTTATAAGTAAATATTGCTTACCAATTTGAAGGATAAATATCCCTATAAAATAATATTTAATTAACATTTTAATTTATTTATTGGATTATTTCTTAAAATAATTTATTTATAAATTTAATGATTGAAGAATAAATGAAGAAATAAATTCAAAAAAATATTTTGGTAATTATTGTTGATAAGAATAATTATATATAGATAAGAAATATTCTTTAGAGAATGAAACATAAAATAACACTTTTTATATCTTATCAACATTCCTTTTTTAAAAGGGATTCTTTAAAAAGTATTTAAATTAAAAATATTTAATTAGTTAAAATATTTACCAGTGTGGCTGCAGAATTATAAAATTATCAAAAATCTTTGTTTTTAAAATTATTATAAATGATTTTTAAAATATTTTTTGTAGAAATATTCCAATATAATTATAAATATTTATAGACAAACTTATGACCTTTTTTCTTTTTATTTTCTTATCAAAATATTTATTTAATGAGAAGAATAAATTTATTTAAATTGTCTTTGTAATTGGGGTATTCCTTAAATTTTTTTTCTTTTCATAAAAGAATGGTGCCATATATGTATACTATTAAAGAATTTATTATTTTATTAATTAAAATTAATTTCCAAAACAAAGTACATTCATTGGAAGTTTTAAAAACATCACAATTTACTTGGAAAAGATATAAATAAATTTATTTAATTCCTAAAATAAAAATTTTAGAAATTTTCTTACAAAAACAATTCACTTAGATGATTATTACTTTAAACAAAAACAAGAATTCCTTACAATTTTATTTTTTAAATAATTTATTGTCTGGAAGTGTAACAAAAATACTAAATATATTTTTTTCAATTTTTTTAATTTCCCGCAGACATCAAACAACAAATTTCGATTTTCTGTGTTTTCTTTTTACATTTTTTGCTTCACAATTAAAATAATTTTTAAATAATTTTGTGTCAATTATTTTACATTGTAATAAATAAATAAATTTATTTTTATTTTTAATTCGAGTTATGCCGATCAGTGAAAGTTTTTTTATAAAATTTTGCTGCTGAGAGTTTTAATAAGTTTACAAAAAAATAAACCTAAAAACCCAAAAGCAAAAAATAACAAAAGAAAGTTATGATTTGAGAAAGCAACAACACACAATTACTTTTCAATTTTTCAATTGCGCGACGTGAATTTTCCTTTGGACGAGTGCAATTTCTTGTATTTTTTTGGTTTGGGCCAAGCCTCTTTTAAATACAACAATAATTGCTTTAGGTTTGCTATAAAGGTATATAAATACAAAATAAATTTAAAAAATTCAAATATATTTTTCAAAAATAAATAATTCCTAAAAATAAAAAATTTACTTAATTTTTCTTTAAAAATGTTCCTTACCTTCTTTTCCTTTACTTTTTTATTTATTTTTAATTTGCTAAACAATTGTGAAGGTTTGGGATTTGGTGATGGATGGGGCGGTGGAATGGGTGGGATGGGCGGATATGGAGGGTATGGAAGCTATGGAGGAGGGTATGGAGCGCCAATGATGATGAAAAAAGTGATGAGTATGTTTTAGTTAAATTTTCTAAATTAATTTTTAAATATTTTAAAAACTTTTTATTATTTTTTTAAAGTGCCTTCTTATGGAAGCTACGGTGGTTATGGAAACTATGGCGGTAATTATGGTGGATATGGTCCTCAAATGTATTCAGGATATGGGGGATATGGTGGCGGTTATGGAGGTTACGGAAAATAAAGGAAAAATAAATTCGTTTAATTGTGATAAGTGTTTCATTAAATTTTAATTAAACATGAAAATAAAATTTTCTAATTCGGAAAAGTGTTCTAATTATTTTTTAGTTAGTATTTCATTTAATATGAGCTATTGGGATTGAGATAGTAGAATAATGAATTGAGTGCGAAAGCGTTTTAAACATAGCTTTAAAAAGGCTAAAAGTTACAATGAGCTTAAAGTTACATTCTAATCATATGTGTTCAAACTTAAAATAATATCTTTAAAGCCTAAATTAAATGCTTTTTTTAATTTTCGAAGCAGTATTTATCTTTTATTTAATTTGCAATTTAATTAGCATATTAATATTTAATTATTTTTCATGAATAATGTTCAAACAACTTTTTGTGTTTTGTTCATTGATATATAAATACCATTTAGTTAATGTTTTATTTAGATAAAGCATTATTTTTAAGTAACCATAAAAAGAAGTACAAATTAATTAAAAGAAATAAAGAAAAATAAAAATAAATAAATGAATGCCAGTTATCTAAATATAAATATCCAAATAAATAGAAAAAATATTTATTTTATTATCTCATTCTAAATAAATTATTTTAATCTGTTTAAAGCATTGATTATGCTTAATAACATCATAGATAGGGTTGCCGTTTTCGAGTCGGGCCGACGTTCGAGTCATTTTTATCGGGCCGGCCCGACCGAGTCTTTTTCGGGCCAAAATTGGATGCCCGACTCGACCCTTAATCATAGGATATAATAAATAAAATAATTTTGACAAAGTTTTTTACCTCAATTTCTCTAATAAAACATTCTCTAATAAAACATTAACTTTAAATGATTGAGAATTAGATATGTAAACTTTCCAACTTAATAGACAAAAAATTAAAAAGAAATATTAAATACAAACAAACAAATTTATTTATTTAAATATTCCTTACATAATTAGATCATTTTGCCTTTTATTTATTTTCTCGTTTAATTTCTGAAAGAAAGCATTGTCTAGGTATATTTATTTATTTCCTTTTAAATGTGCAAATAAACAGGCTAAATAAATGAAAAATTGGCGAAAAATTATGCATTTTGGCACAAAAGCCTTTGGGAACTCGAAAATAATTTTTATTATTTTAAAGAAGACATTTACACTTATTCTTTTTTTAATATTTTCGGGTGGCCAATTATTTCTCAATTATTATATGTTTTGTAACTGAGACTTAATACTTTTCAGAAAGCATTTTTTTCTTCTTTACAAATACTTTTTAGTTTAAATTTTTTTATTTCTTTGCTTTTATTACTTTGATATTAAATAATTTTTAAATTATTTTTTGAATTCTGGCTCGAAACTTTTAATGAAATAAGATTCCAAAAATTTTTGTTTTCTCAGATTTTATTGTCACACCTTTTTTTTAACAAATCATTTGGAACAATTTATCTAATTCAGAAATGAAAGCAAATTAAATTATTTTTCGTATAAATTATTTTTTCTAACATAAACCTTAAAATAAAATTAGTACCCATCCGTATTTTGTCTAATCTTAATAAATATTCAAACTAAAACATCTATATCAATCTCAAGATGTACTAATCCCTCATGTGTTGGATCTCATCAAATGTGCCATTCTTTTCTACAAATAGTAATTCATCTTCATGCCGGCGTGCTTTTTACATTAATAGAGCAAATAATGGCACAATAAATTCAACATCTTCTGTTGCTTTCTCAACACGTTCAATGGAAAGGGGAACTAGTGGTGAAGGTTCTCCTTCAATTTGCGAAGTTGTTAATAGCTCTCCAAATGCATCTGTTCGTGTTATGTTTAGGCAAAGATCGAGAAGATTCTTTTGTTCTTCTGAAGTATTAAATTTATTTATTTAAAATTAAGTACTTTCTTAATTGTTTAAGGTAGATGATGAAAATTTTATTGTAAGAAGGAGTGGTTATTTTTGTTGTTCTCTTCGAATGCTGGCATTTATTCTAATGCCAATATTGCCCGTTATTGTTTTCCTTCTTACTTATTTTCTAATACCTACAAAACAAGCTCGCGAGCAGGATCCATTTATCAGGCAAAAATTTAATTACTACTAGGGCTTGAAAAATATGGAACTTTTCGTCCATATAATTTACAGCTTTACTGATTAGATTTTTAAATAAAAAATTCAGAACAATACCTGAGGATCCATTAATTCGTCTACCTACTGATGTAATCCCTATCCATTACGAATTACATCTAAAAATATATCTGCCCTACAAAAAGGGCATTGATTACGGGGAAAGAAACTTTACTTTTGATGGAAATCTTCGTTTACATTTACTCTGTCGCCAAACAACAAATGTTTTATTATTACATTCGAAATCATTAGAAATTGATTATGATAAAGCAACAATTTGGATGGGTGGAGGAACTATTAGATTAGAAGGGCCGAGAATAATTGGTTGGAAGGAATTAGCAGGACGAAATGATCTTTTGGAAATGAGATTAGATAGAGCTTTATTGCCTGGGAGAAATTATATTTTGGTTATATAACTATAGAATATTTATTTAAAATAATTTTATAGGAGTTGGGATATAAAGCAAAGATTGGGAAAAACTCACAGGAAGGTGGACTTTATCAAAGTCATTATTTAAATGGAGCAAACGGAGAGAATAGGTGAAGAATAGATGTTAATTAATTAACATGTGTATTTAAAAAGATATATAGCCGCAACACAAATGCAGCCATTGGATGCACGAAAAATGTTGCCATGTTTTGATGAACCTAGTTTTAAGGCAGAATTTTCTATATCAGTCCAACATCCAGATGGCACTGTAGCACTATCAAATGCACCTATTGAACATACAAGAAATGTTGAAAGGTAGAGGATAGAAAATTGTAGAATAATATTATAAATTAATTTTAAAGGGGATGGACACTTTCATTATTTGAAAAAACCCCAAAAATGGCCACATATTTATTGGCTCTTGTTATTAGCGACTTTCAATATCGAGAAGCATCTTATAATAAAATTAAAGTTTTAAATTAATTCTATATTAAATAAATATTTATATTTAAAGATACGAGTTTGGTCACAAACTTCAAAACTTGATTATACTGCTCATGCCCTAGAAGTTTCTGTTAGATCTTTAAAATATTTTGAAGATTATTTTGGAATAAAATATCCACTCAAAAAACTTGGTAAAGTTTTTTTCATTTGAGAAAAAATATTAATTATTAAATATTAATGATAAATCAAAAAATATTAATGATTTATAATTAGATATATTTGGAGTTCCTGCTCTTCGCGTTGCTGCAATGGAAAATTGGGGCTTAATCATATGTCGTCAACAGAATCTAATCTATATAGAAGGTGTTCAGGCACGTAGAGATAAACAATTTGTTACTGATGTTTTAGCACATGAAATTGCACATATGGCACGTATTAAATATTTAAAAAATAATTTTAAAATTAAGTGGTTTGGCGATTTGGTTACAATGGAATGGTGGGATGATTTATGGCTGAATGAGGGATTTGCAACAATAATGGGCATGAAGGTTGTGATTTTAAGCTCTTGCAATAATATTTTGAAAAGAAAATTTAAATAACAAATTACTTTGCTTTTAAGGCAGCAGATTATGCAGAGAATTCAACATCAAGAACGGTGATTTCTCAACTTAAACTATAATAGCAAAAAGATATCCTTGAGCCGGCGGACAAGTTCTATTAGAAATAGGGGACTAAAAAAGGACTATTTAATTCATTAGACGATTTCAGAGTCAACTTTTCTATGAACATACAGTCAAGGCATTCCGTTTTGATCAAGTTGCTCATCAAGCACATGCTTTAAGCTATAAAATATCCTCTGTTCGTGAAGTTGCCAGACGTTTTGATAGAATTACTTATTTAGTAATTTTAAATACGAGTTTTTTAATAAGAAATATTTTTTTAGAAAGCAGCGGCTGTGTTAAGAATGGTTGAACACACTGTGGGAGAAAATATTTTTAGAGAAGGTCTTCGATCTTTTCTTCGAAATTATAAATTTAAAAATGCCCGTTCTGATGATCTTATTAGAGTATTAAGGCATAAATATATTTACTATAATTTTTCAAAATTTTAATTAAAATTTTAGCGCTGTCGAAACTAACGGAAAAAGCCGTGTTTTTTCAATTGTTAACTTTTCATTGAGTGAAGTAAATTTAAAATAATAAAAAAAATTAATTTAAATTAATTTTCAGTTTATGGATAGCTGGACATATCAAACAGGATTTCCTCTCATTCAATTAATTGCTTTAAATTCAACAGCAGTTATAGCTAGTCAAGTACAATTCTTTTATTTACAAGAGCCAAGTTCAAATCCTTCTTCGTGGAAAGTTCCATTATTTATTAATGGAAATACTACAAATAATGGAACTGAAGATGTTCTTATTCTTGAAAGAGATTCTGGTATAAGATTTTTTATTTACTCATTTCCTACTCAAATTTACTAATAGAATTATTTAAAATTATTAATTATTATTCACCTATTAATAAGATTATAAACAGACAATTAATTTTTAGTTATTTTGCCTCGTTATCAGATTGTTGATCCAAAAGCACACGGTTATTATCGTATTCAATATGATCCCGAAACTTATGAAAATATTATTTGTATATTATCAACTAACATGACTTTTATTGATGTAAAATTAATTTTAACTATTTAAAATAATTTAAAAACATAAAAAGTTGGCAAGTCGTGCTCGCCTTTTAGAAGATGCATTTACAATAGCTAGAACTGGATTAATATCATTTGAATTAGCATTTAGAATGAGTGAATATTTGGTAGAAGAAAAGGAATATTTGCCATTACTTGTTTTTAATAATCATTTACAACATTTGCTTCTTTTACTTAGAAATCATAATAAATCTTATTTAATTAGGGTATATTTTTTGGATTTTAAAAATAAAAAAAATTATTTTTAGTCATTTATTTTGGAAATGTTAGAGACACAGTTTCACCGACTTTTCTCTCCACATTTTATTAACAATGCCGATATTAGCGAGTAATTTATTTAAATTATTTTTTTTTAATTAATTTCAATTTTTTGAGTACATTAAGAGAATTTGCTATGGTTCAACTTTGCCAGTGGAATTATCCTCCATGTATTGGACATTCCTTGAGAGAGTTCTCTAGAGTTAGGTCCGCCTGTCGTGATCGCAAAATGAGTGACCAAAAGTGTAATAAGTGAGTTTATATTTGTGAAATTGACAAAGAGATAAATTAAAGTTGAAATCTAGTTTCTAATATTAATTATCCAGCTTAATTAAGCTACAAATTTGACTCGATTTAGTCCATTTTCCCGATTTTTTTAATTTAAGATAAATAATATTTTTTATAAATTTACAGAATTCCCCCAGAATTACGCGGACCAGTTTATAGGTTTGTTTTTGTTTGAAACTATTTACAAAATAAAAATTTCTTAGCACAGCTATTCGTCATGGGAATATTGATGACTTTGATTTTCTTTGGAGTAAATATTTAATTGAAGAATATGATTCAGAAAGGGGTCGAATACTTTCTGGCCTCGTTGGCACAACAGATATTAAACTTGTTGAATTGTAAAAAGAAAAGGAATTATTTAAATAAAAAAAATTTTTTAAGATCATTAAATAGATTTATTGAAAATATAAGAAATACAACATTAATTGGTTTTAATCCTGAAGATTTTTATGCTTTTCTTTTAAAATTTGTTAGGTTTTTATCATGAAAATTTTTTTAAATTAATTATTTTATTTTAGATCCCCGATACTTAATGATGTTGTTGATAGCATGAAAAGAAATTTTAGAATGTTTGCTAATAAGTAAAAAAATTATTTTTTATTAATATATAAACAAAATTAACTTTTCCTAAAGTAAATAGAATCCCGTTAATATGTAACCCTTGGGACCGAATTAGTGCGACGTATGAATGAGACCGAGTTGAGTTGGGGAAACGTATTGGCGAAATTCCATTGTATTGTTAGGTATAACGTATTTTCTCCGTTAATTAGTCTCTCTGGAATAACTAACCCTATAGAGAGCAGATTTTGTGTTTCACCTTTGATTTTTGAGTCACTCTCTTCGTCATACTAGTTGGTTTTAATCCTGGAGTGAAGACTGTTTTTACCCAAATATTTTTTAACCAAAATAATTATTTGAAAGTCTTATTTACCCCTTATTATTTTAAAAATAAAAAATTTATTTTTCTTTAAACTTCCTTAAACAAAATAGTAAATATTTTTCCCAATAGAATTCCGAATACTTTATTAATGAAAGTTATTCTGACATTTATTACTAAATGGATGAATTCAGAAAGTGATTTAGCTGAGGTAATATTTTTAATTAATTAATTTTTAATTTTTTTTCTAGTTAAAAGAATTTAAAATTCAACATAAAAAAGAATTAACAGAACTTCGTCTTCTTGATTATTTACATGAACAAATAACAGAGATTAAGGCAAATGAGGATTTTGTAGATAAATATGCTCAAACTATAATAGCTTATTTAGAGAAGAGAAAAGACGAAAGAAATTTGGAAAAACAAAAAATTAACAAATGTCAACCTCTCATAAATTAAACATAAAAATTGCCAAAAAAATTTATTTTAGCCTAAATTTAAATAAAAATTTCTAAAAAATATTTATCTAAAATAATATTCCATAGCAACATAAATATATCCTTTTATTTTTGTTTTTATATTTCCGTCACAGTATCTATCATACTTTTAACTACTTTTTGTCATCTGTTATTTATTCCTGATTTTTTATTCATATATCTAGTTTGCAGGCTGCTGCGCATTCTAAATATGTATAAACTTGATAGTTTAGAAAAATGCCCTCTAAAAAGGCCAACAGGTGCTACATATTTTAGTAGATATTTGCAGAAAATATTGAGAATCTTAAATTAGGTGTAAATACTATTTCTTTTTCCTTAATTTTGTTTTAAAAATTATTTTTAGACTGTAAAGAAACTATAAAAATTTATTCTTTTCCAATCGTTTATTTGTAAAATAAGAAAAATTTTAATTTTTATTAAAACCTAAATCATACAAGCCAATTATTTTTTGTTTTATATTAAATAATTATATTTTCTTTTTATTTATTTTCTGATTAAAAGCAATGATGGATTAGATTAGTCTAAATGATCATGCTTGCCATTTTTTACATTCTTTGGGGATTGTAAATAAAATAGCCGTTAATGATCGATGATGACTATTTTGGACTTAAATATTTTTAAAAATTAAATAAGGCAATATAGTAATAATTAGAGATTGGACGTGAGTCTAGTACCAGAATCGTACAAGCATCTCTATAATCGAAATTTTTGTTAGAGAATCTCTTCTTGGTTCGATCTCCAGTAATAATAATTATTATTATTTTATTGTCTTTATTTTCTTTTAATTATTAATTCAATAATAAACAAATATCTGATCTAGATATACGTGAATTATTTGGTGAATCTATTTTGGCTTTGTATTAGTATTTCCTTTTGATGTTTAATGAAATTATTTCTATTTAATTGTTTCTCATTGTCATTCCAAAAACTTTGTTTAAAAATAACATAAAAATCCCTCAAACGTTTTTGGCTTTCCTTTCTTTTACTTTATTAAAGTCAACATTTATTCTTTTTAATCACTCAATCTGAAAGGCCATCAATTGGCAAGCAAAACATAAATAAATATATATTGGATTAAGTAAATGTTATTGAAAGGCTACCACCATTTTTTTATTATTTTCCCTCGATCAGCGGTAAAACCAATTCAAAATTAAACCTTCCTTCTTCGCTCCTTCCCCTTTTTATTTCTTTTCCTTTTAATTTTAAGGACTTCCTCATGTTTGTTGTTTTAATTTCCCCTCCACCCAACTATTTAGCTTTTTATTTCCTCAATAAATTTTATCCAGATGCCTGATGGCCTTTCGAATAAAAACAAACTTCAAATATTTTCTACGGTCATTTAATATTTTACTATAATAAATGATTGAATTTATATTAAAATATTGTATTTTTTACGTAAATACAAATAATATTGGGATCAGATCAAAATTTAGCTTCCCACAATTAATTGAACTAAGTAAACACCCAGATTTTTAATTTTTGAGATAATTTTCTTCAAAAAATAATATTTAAAATGATTTTTTCTTGATTACCAATTTACAAAATAAAAGTTCTAATAAAAAATTGACATAATTTTTCCTATATTTTATTATCTAAGAAAACCAAAAAAATATTATTTATACAGACAAAACTATCTACATCTAATACATATGTAATTTCCCATGTCAATCCTCCCAAAAAGCTTGCGCCCAACAATATAACCTTCAATAAGAAATGAATGATTTTTTACTAAAACAAATAATAATAATTCTGAAATTCTAGATATATAAATATTTTTTTTATTTAAATAACTATGTAGTACATGCATTTTATTGTGTTTTTTGACTATGCCAATCATTATTTGGTTACTCATTAAAAATATTGTGTATTAAAATTAAACCATAAATTTGAGATTCTTGCGCAACCCTAGTAGTAATTAAAAAATATATTTTATAATTTTATTGAAAATTTGTAAATATTTTTTTTAATTTTCTAAAAATAATTTTTTATTTATTCACATCTCTTCAAAATATTTATTTCTTTTTTTCTTTAATTTAAATTTTGGAGTCGAATAACTTTCTGGGAAAAAAAGTTTTGTTATTTTTACTAATTCCATTTAGTAGTTTTTGTTCCCTTTGAGAGTTCTTGGTAAATGTAAATACTTTTTTTATTGTTTTAGAGCATTTGCACGCGAACTACAGCTTTTTCTCCTAACAATTTATTTTTATTCAAAATTTTTTTTACTAATTTTTTGTGTTCTTTAAAAAGAGATAAAGCAAAAATATTTTTAAAAATTAGTAATTTTAATTTTAATTTTTTTGTTTTTAAAGAAATTAATTTTTGTTTAAAATTCTGAACTCTAAGAAATATCTGGATTCTGAATTTTATCCGAAAAATCCTTTCACTATTCCAATTTGATAGTTTACATTTTTTATTGGTCATAATTTTTCTACAAAAAAATATTTTTAAAATTTAAAAAAGGACTTCAAGAAATATCTGTATAGTGCATAAATAACATAGTTAACAAATAAAATGTTTTTCGATTATTTTTTGCCTTTTCTTTTTCTACAATTTTTCAATTATAACAAATTAACATTTCAATCACCAAATTTACAAGAAGAATGGCCTACAAAAACATCTCCATTAAAAACGGCAGAATTGAAATTTATGAAAAAACTGTTTGAAAACAGAAATTACAAAAATAATGCTGTTTATGGATATGAACCTAAAGTTTTAAAAAAAGGTTAAAATATTTACTTGATTAAATTTATTTTGATTAAATTTCATTTTACCGTATTTTTGCCAATACTTAATAATTTCGCGCGAATTGTTTATATATTCATTTTCTCTTTTTTGGGGGGAATAATAATAAACAATGACCAATGGCCAGATTTCTTTTTATTGTTCTGTTTTAATATTTCTGTTATTTTGTGTAAATAAACATAAAACGGTTGAGCGCTTTTAGGGGTATATGGTATTTTTAATAATTTATATTTGAAAATAAAAAAGAAAAAAAGAAAAAATAAAAAAAATAATATTTTTTTAAATTAATTATTTGGCAATCTTGAGGGAATTAAAAAAGTTTATTAAATTAAGGGCAAACTAATTGCAGAAATGGCAATGATGAAAATTTAGAAGAGGGGGAATTTGTTTTGGAATTTGAAATAAATGGAATTAATGGAAAGGATAAAGTAAATAAATTAAAGAATTAAAATAAAATATTTAATTTTTAGTTACTAGATGCTCAACTCCAATTACTTTTACCTGAAACAAAAAATCACCACCAACAAATCGTCAAACATAAATACCGTCACAACTCTATTTTTAAACACAATAAAATTTCAAAACATTTAAAGCAATTTAAAATTAATTATTTCGATATATTTGTATTTTCTGGGAATAATTGTAGTAAAATTGAAAAATTAAAATTACAAAAACTATTGCCTGTAGAGGATGAAACTATTTTTAATTTAAATAATTGGTTTATATATAATGTTAAAGAAATAATTGAAAGAAATTTAAAAGAAAATAAATTAAATTTAATTATTAAAATTAAACAGGTATTTTCTCTTTTAAAATAAAAAAAATATTTTTTTAATTAAAAAAGAATAATTTAAAAATCAAAAAACTTTCAAACTTTGCATATTCTCATGGACCATTTCTTGTAGTTTATACAGAAAATAATGAAGTTATTGAAGATGAGAATATTAAAAATAAAAGAAATAAAAGAGAAATATTTCATTCAAAAGGTGATAAATAAATAAATTAATTTAAAATAAAATTATAAATTAATTAAAATAGAAGACAATAATCTCCAAATCCAAGAACATATGGATGCAGTAAGAAGACAAGCAGAATATTTTGCTTATGGAATGGCTCTTCCAACGGAACAATTACCACAAATTGAGGAAAATAATTACTTAGTAAAACCTATTCAAAATATTCCAAATAAATTTGAAAATACTAAATTTGCATTAAGACGACGAAAATTGGTTGAGTGGAATTTTTAGAAAATTATTCTGTATTTTTAATATTTTAGAAGAATAGAAGAAAAATTAAACAAAAATTGTCTCGGAAATCGTCTTTTGATGCGAATGATCCAATGCTCGGATTTGGAACAAATAAATCACCTTGGGAACGTTCAATTAAAGGAAACAAATTCGGAAATTCTTTAAACGATTTTAAAGAGTTAGAAGAAAATGAAAGAGATGGGATGATGATGAATAAACACGAGAAGAATGATAAGGAAATTAATATGGGAATTAAAAGTAATGGTGCTGGTGGGAGTATAATAAAGGTGGGTGTTTTAACTTTTTTAAAAATTGTTATGATAATTGAGAATTCAAATGACTTTTAATTGAACAGTTACTTTCTGAACGAAGATAAACCCTTATCTTCTATGAGTCCCGAATTGTAGTATTACACAAATGTTACATCAGACTGAAAATTTGCCCGAAACTTAACCAAATGTTTCAAAAAAATTTAAAAATTAAATCAACTAGGCAAATCATTTTGACTAGGATAAATCCATTTATATGATTAAGGAATAAATTCACCATCACGCTATACTCTACATATATTACACATATATGTATACATATTAACTATTTAGCTTAATCCTAATTTACTGCAGTAATTAAACATTTAAAGAAATGTTCACGTCACAATCTCACAGTTGACATTAGAGATTTGGGCTTAGATGAACGAATTGTTGCCCCAAAAAGTTTTGAGGCTGGATATTGTGCTGGATCATGTGAATATCCTCTTGATAGAGTATTATTTTTAATTAAAATTTTAAAATTAAAATTTTTTGAAAATTTTTTAGAGCCTTCGGCCTTCGAATCACGCAATATTTCAATCTTTAATTGTTAAATTACAATCTATAACAAACAATAATATTACTACAGGACAAAATACACCCTCAGTTTGCTGTGCACCTGACAAATTTGATTCGTTAACAATGCTTTACTTTAACGAGAATGGAAATTTAGTTTTAAAAAATTTCCCAAGAATGATAGTTTTGCAATGTGGATGTATTTAAATTTTCATTTAAATTCAATTAATGTAAATTTATTTAAATACTGCCATACTACAAAACTTGAATTACAGAGATGATGAATTACAGAGATGGGAATTAAAGGTAATGGTGATGGTGGGAGTTGCACCAAAATTTACCAAGTCTTTCCCAAGTCTCGAATCGAGCAGAAAATCTTTTTTACACGTTTCACAAATAGAATGGCATGTTATTGTAATTCAAGTTTTGCAGTGAGATTCTTAACAAAAACCATTTCAGTTGCTAATTAATAAATTATCCATAGAGAATTTTTTTTCAATTTATAAGGTTTAAAATTAAGAATTATTTCGAAATATCCAGGAAATTAAAATAAACCATACATACTACTCCAAATTAATATTTATTTTGTCAAAAAATTATTTTAAAATAGGATTAAATCCATCAATCTGATTTAGGTAATATGAGCAAAAAATCAAAAGGAATTGTTTTAAATTCCCTAATTTAAACGGAAGGAAAAAAACAAAAATTCCATTTGTAAAATTTCATTATTTATTTTCCCTCTCTCCTCATCAACCTTTTTGTTTCTTTGCAATTTCTTGTACTTCTTCTTCTGTTCTGTTTTTACATTGGGTTGAAAGAAATTTACGAACAGATTTTGAAATAGCCCCATCAGCCTTTCTTGATTTTGAAAATATTTCTAAATGAGGCTTTCCTTTCCAAATAAGTCCGAATCTTTTAAAAAAGAATTAGAAATAAATTTAAAGAAAACAAAATTACCGGAAATTTGGGTCATTCCGTACAAGGAAAAGTTGAATTTTACAGAGGCAATCGTGGACCTAAATTAACAAAGAAATTCAACTTTGGGAGATTATACAAAAATCTTGCCTTGCTAAGAACGGCGTAAGGTAGAGGTTTCATCAATTTTGAAATGTCATTTAATCCCTAAAAGTTGTTAATTTTAAACAAAATATTCTCAAATGATTATATTTTCACATAAATAGCTGGTTTTGTGAAGTCTCCATTCCCTTTCCAAAATCCAATCATTTCCTGGTCGGCACAAGTAAAAAACATTTGTGCCCATGTAAAGAAAGGAAAACCACCTCCGTGTGGATAGGTTGTTAATAATTGTAATGGTAAATTATCAGGCACATTTCCAAAATTTATATAGCCAATAGCCTTAAATATTTAATTATTTCTAAATTGGAAATCTTTTTTTAAATGAAATTATTTAAATTTTGGATAGAAATACAAATTATTTTATCTCAAAATTTTCTGTTATTTCAAATTCAGGATAAATTGGATTAGCTATTTAATAACTGACTTTATTATCAGCAAACTCTGTTTTCTCAGGTAGCTGATCAGTATCTTCAAATATTTCACTAAAATATAAATCAAAAATTATATTAAAATCATCACTAGAAACCCACGCTTTAGCTCCAGCAAAATCAGCACATTCAACCTCATATCTAACTAGAATTTTAAGCGTTCCAAACTGATAACTAGTTAACTGAAAGAATGGCCCAGAACAATGTTTAGAACGAAATTTTGTCATTTTCGCTTTCATTGATTGATCATAGGTTAAATGACCAATCTTTTAAATATTCATTAATTAAAATTATTTAATAATTAATAACTTCCATCAAGTCTGAAGCTTCCATACGACTGAGTAAAACTGTTTTGCCAACACGTTCACAATCAATTCGAAATAGTCCGTCACCAGCCTCTTGGCCAAATGCAAAAAGTTTTTGAAGGTTAATTGCATCTAAATAGTATTTTTGGGAAAATATTTTTTTGAAAATTTTAATGAGTAATAAGTATTTGGAAATATAATATAATCTTAAGCTATGCAAGAAATCTATTAATTATCAAAAAACTTTTTTAATTATTATTTTATGGGAAAAATGAAAATAATTTTACAATTTTTGCTCAGTCGATGAAATTTTTGAACGGAAAATAGAATTTTTTGAAAACTAATCCTATTTTTTCCCGGTTTTAAACCTATTTTTCCATTTTTGTCATACATTTTTAGCAACTTATTTAGGTACCTATTTTAAGATTTTTACAGCCTATAAATCCAATCCCTAGTAGGCTTTCAAATGATATAAAATTCATTCGGGTTGTATCGAGCATAAAAAAGTTAAAGCCTAACAAATTCAGAAAAGGTGAAGAAAACGTAAATTCGGGGATACAAACGCTCAGTGCCGATTATAATTTAGAATATAATTTAGATTATTCCTACCTGTTATTATATCGTAATCATCAAAATTAATCTACAAAATAAATTTATCTAAATCAAATTAAAATCAAAATTACTTCAGTTTTCTTTTTATTATTAGCAGAACATAATTTTGCTGCTAATATAGCCGCATCCAATTGCCCATCTTTGACTTTCATATGATTAACGTTGTAAATAACTACACCGTGATCTTGGCGTAATTTACCTCCGGGCCAATAAAAAGATTCTAATGGCATCCCAGGAATCTAAAATTAATTGGAAATAGCCTTTAAATTAAATTTAAATATTTTTTGAATTTAAATATTATTTTTAAAAAACAAGGTAATTAAATACAAATTATTTTTCTTTAAATAAAAGTAACCCGCCAAAATGACGGGGTCATCCTCCTCGAGCCTCCATTGATAAGAGCCTATTCTTTCAACATTTTTAGTTGATGATGCTCCACTTTTCCCGCTTAAATTAACGAGTGGTAATAATCCATACGGCTCTTCATCTAATCCGTCGAAAAGCCAAAAACCTTCAACTTCATCATTTTGGTGGTTTTGAGCTGAAGCCATTTTCAGCTTTTACTTAAAAATAAATTAAAGTTTAAAATTTATTTTTAAATGCCTAAGTTAAAATATATATAAATTATAAAAATTTTAAAGTAAAAATTTGACAAATCCTCTCAATAAATAGTCAATATCACCAAATATTCATGGGATATCAAGCTATATTTCTTAAAGAATTGAGCTAAAATGTTTAAAATATACTAAGAACAGGCTGGATATATTGATCGATTTCTGTCGATTGGATCACTCTCCTTAGGCAATTCCCAATAATTGAAAGGAAGTTAAGTAACTTAAATTCAAGCATTTGTGTTTGTTGGATATTTTATTTTTAAACATTATAAAGGCTTTGGAAAAGATATATTTATAGGGAATTTATAGAAAATTAAAACAATTTACTAATGTTATTTTTACAGTTAGAGGATATTTGGTATAACTCAAACTCTAAATTTAAAAATAAGTTAAAACTAAATCAATCATTATTTCTTATCTTTATATTATCAATTAATTAAAAATATTATCCAAATATTTAATTATTTTCATTAATTTTATAAGCAAAATTAATTTTAAAGCAGAACATAAGGAATGATTTAATGAATCAATTATTAGAAAAGATTCTTTTATTCCAAATAACTGAGATAATTTTTTACATCTCTTCTTGACAGTTTGTCGAGCATTGGTTAAATCTAAATATGAAAAGTTAAAAAAAAGCTAAATATAAACATAAAAATCTGATCAATGAAAACATTTCGTCAAAAAAAGAAGTTATCGATATTCAACCCCAATATTTTTTCTACAAATTTGATTAAAGAATTTACCTCATTTATTTTGATTAGCATGGCCGCCAACTTGGAATCCTGCATTTGGACCTGCATTAGTCCACGGAGTTCCATCAGCTTGATGACCAGCATTTGGCCCTGCGTTTGACCAAGGTTGACCTCCGGCTTTATTTCCACCACCTCCTCCAGCAGCAGCTTTACCTCCTCCACCACCACCACTGCTTTTACTTCCGCCACCTCCACCTCCACTTCCCTTTCCTCCTCCGCCACTTCCGCCTTTACCTCCACCACCACCTCCACTACCGCCTCCTTTGCCCATTTTTGTCAAATAAATATTAATATGTAGCTAAATAAACTTAAATTAAATTTGTAATTAAATTATTGAATGAAAATTTTGAAAAATCTATTTCAAGCAGTAGATAAATTTAAACCAAAAAATATAAAGGGAAATAAAAAATAAAAATAAATGACAAAAATATTGGCGAAGGAAAATAAATATTAAAAAATATTATTCACACCGAACACAATTTTGTTTACAAAGAACTTCCAGTGCATTTCTGTTTACATTTATTTTGTTATTGTGAATAATAGTAAATAAATATCAAAAATGTATAAAAAATCTGGTGACCGATTAAAATAAAAATATTTTTTAAGCTTTAATAAAGTTGAATATTTTAGTTACAAAGAAATTTTTGTTTACAGCTTTCATCCATAACATTCACAAAAAATAATCGAAGAAACATATATCGTTTATCTTTGTGTATATCTGTATGTAAAAGTGCAAATTTGCCAAAACGAATAAAACGATCAAAAAATTGAAAGAAACGTTCGTAGGTGTAATTAACATTTAATTCCTTAAAAATTACTAATTATTTTTTTAAATTATAATTTAAATTTTAACATTTGGATGATGTATTTCCATATTTAATTGACATATTGGAATTGGGAAATATTTGGAATGTTCTGTAAAATTAAAGAAAAATATATTCTTTAGAAATGCCAAATACTTACCAACAAATTTTTCCAAAATTCCAAATTCAGCCCCTTCAACATCAATAAGCATTAAATCAACAGGTTCTGTTTTTTGATATTTTTTTCTTAAAAATTCGATTATTCCAATTTGCGGCACCATTCTACGGTTAACGCCCTTCTTTACAACATCTTATAATATTTAATTGCTTCACAAAAAATTTATCTTTTTACCTTTCTCCCAAACATTTATTAATGTTTTGTCTAAAGATTCCCCTCCAATTGCTGCTTCCAAAAATGTTCCGCCCAATTCTTTTTTAACCAAATCAGAATTAATATCAGAAGAAGGATCTACAGCATAAAATCGACATTCTGGATAAATTTTGCTTAAATTTCTTTCTGCCCAAATTGAATGTCCAACTCCTAAATAATTTATCGAAAATTAAATTTTTAAATTTTAGAGATTAGATTTAGTAATTCTTCTCATAAATTAGAATTAAAAAAATATAATTTAAATTTTGTATATTACAATTTAATTTAACCTAAAGTTATAACGTTGCATTGTAAAGGTCTTTTGATATTATTCGAAAATTTTATAAAATATTTTTGTTCTTCATCATCTGACTGTAATCTAAATATTTCCATTTTTTCAAATTCTTTGTTCCAGATTTCCTAATAAATTTTAAAATTAAATATTAAAATTTAAATTCAAATAAATACATTAAAATGTCTAGGAATTAATTCCCAAGTTGCCTTAACATTTATTTTTCCATTTATTTGTTTTATTATTGGCATCCCTTCTTTTTGTAAGGCTAAGGATTTTTTAAATAAAATATTTTGGGTAAAACATTCTTTTATTTTATTATTTTTTTGTTGTATTAATTTATTTAAATTTTTTTCGTGGATAACTTTCCACCAAGGTAAATCCAAAAAATAAGCATTTAAATTAATTAAAAAAGAACAAATAAAAATTGAAATAGGCAATAATATTATAATAATAAATTTAATTTGAGAAATATTAAATATTCTTGAAGAAATTAAAAACATTTTTATTTAAATTTATTTTTAAGTAAAATATTTTGAATATAAATATTGGAAAAATAATTAGTACAGATTTATAAAGATTGCGATTTTAGATTACAAAATTTATTAAAGATCAATTGAGGTCAAATAATTAATTATTTGTCCTTTTATTTAAAAATAAAAAATAGTACCTATTTATTTTACAAAATATAACAACAATTTTTATTAAAATTCAATTAATCTACTCTTGTTTTGTTAATTAGTGTTCGGTAATATCACGATACCTCTCGATATTATTGTGATATTTTCAGATTCTTTAATCTCATTCAATATCGACATAATATCGATATCGAATTTTGAAAACCCACATTTACCGAACACTAATCAGTATCAATATCTCAAAAAATTTTTTATTAATTTTTTACAATCTTTTCAATAATAATATTTTTCATCAGCAGAATACCTAACCAAATGTTCAATATAAGGAGTAGGTAATCTTCGGGCACAAAATTTTTTCTGATGTGTCCAATAATGGCATTTATAAATATCTCGTAAAATAGACAGTGAAGGGGAATTTCTTTTATTTTTTATTTCTTCATTATCTTCCTCAATTTTTTCGCTTAAAATATTTAAATAAAATTAAAATATTTCTTAAAAATAATTACACAAAAAATCCAATTTTGCGGGCAGCTTGTGGTCTTTCCTTTTTTCTTCTTCTAATGGCCATACTTTGCTTTAATTGACGCCAACTTTTTGGCTTTTCTTGCTTTGATATTATACTAATTTTTTGTGATGAAGTTACTAAACGAAATGATGTTGACATTTTTATAGATATCATTCTTTTTAATCTACTTCTAGCTGTTACAATGTCTGCATTATATGCCATAAATTCAAGAATTAGTACTTAATTTGTTAAAATATTAAAAAAACATTTTTTAAAGAATTTTACAATTAATACAAGCTGAAAATATTGCCAATCCAAAAAGTAAAAATATTAAAGTAAAAAGAACATATCCAGGTTCTTTCATTAATCTTTCATTGGTTTGGGCTGGGACAAAGTCTCCAAAACCAATTGTTGAGACTATATTAAATATACATATTTATTTATAATTAAACACTAACGACTAATCATGCAATAATATGCAGAATCAAAAATTGACCAACTTTCTTGCTTGTGAAATACCCCGGCTTAAATAAAATTATTTTGCCTAAATTAATTTTTTAAAATTAAAACTTGCAACTGCAATTGTAATACATCCAATAGAGAAAGAAACAAACAATAAATGTCTGGACTTTATTTGCCATTTACTTAACCATTTTTTGTTTTTAAATAAACATTTTTGTATTTGCACAAGCAAAGTTTTAATAATATGATTAATACGTTCACCAACCTTAAATTTGTGTAATAGTAAGGGAATTTAGAATTTTTTTATTTTATTTTTGGCACAAACAATAAATCAACTAATCCTAAATCTAGTTCGGGAAAACTGTATATGGTTAATAACGTCGATGTAGGAAAGGCACCGAGAAGGAATGCTTATTCCTTGATAATCTTCGGCTAAATCGTATTTGCAAGATCACGAGTGCGTAATTTTTCAAAAATTTTTGAGTGATTGTATCCCATGGAATTTTTAGGTTTATCTCGCACACGCAAATCCAAAAAATTCGAGTCGACTCCTAATATTATACATAACTTAATCTAAATAACAGCAATAAACTTAAATATATTTACCGATTGAAATGTAACCAATCCCAAGGGAATTCCACCCAATGCATAAACCATACAAAATAAACGACCGGCTCTTGTATTCGGAGTTGAATGTCCATAACCTATTGTTGATATCACTACTGTACAAAAATATAATGACCCTAGAAATTGCCATTGACGGCCAGCAGAAAAAGGAATTGACTGGACAACAATATTTTCTAATTGAGCATAATCCCTTATGGTACAATGTTTAAATTTAATGAATTTTTCTATTAATACTTTTTAGAAAATTTATATTTTTGTTGCATTAATCTTCTTTTTGCCGTTACTTCTTGTCTAGATCTTTCATCCTCTTCATATTCAAATAAACTAAATATTATAGCACCAGCTACTAAATAAAGAAAAGTAACTCCCATAAGTAATAATGAACGGCGAGTTTGGCCACTTTTTTTGTCAGAAAGGAGTGGAAACATTCTGGAGCTAATTGAAGATCTTGGTAAGAACATTAATAGGTAATTTAATAAATAATTAGGGACCACCGAAATATGGTTCGACAAGAAAGGAATTTTTAAAAATTAATATGTATTTTTTTATTTGCTGTCAACCAAATGTCAAGCATTTATTCTTTTTTTCCTATTTTACCGGAAAACAAACAAAATGTAAAATAAGTAACTGCTAATTTTATGAAATTTAAAAAAAATAGAAAAGAAGTTTAAATAAATAAATTTGGGCACAGAAATGTTTAAAAACATTTTAAAGATATTTTTTAGTTAAAAATATTTTATTTGGAATGCTAAATTGGTGTTTGGTTTAAATAAATAACGGGAGTCTATTACTAATTTTATTGAGGAGCGGCCAACCATTTTGGGGCTTTGGCATATACCAATAAAAAAGGCATTAAAGGAAAAGGCAAAAAAAGAGTCCCACTACTAAAATGGATGAAGCTAATGTCCAAAATAAATTAAGTATGCAAAAATAGTAGAGAAAGGAAATTTAAATTTAGTTTAAATTTTACAATAAAAAACAATAATTTTTTAAACAATTTTATTTTAATAATACAAAAAGTTCATTCACTGACTTCAAATAGGTTAATATTTTTTGATCCTATTTATCTATTAATTAATTATTTTTTTAGTTTATTTAATATTTAATAATTACCTTTAAATTTTTATTAAATATTTATTTTCTTGTTTTCCTTTAACTGAAACTTCCCAAGTTCCTCTTTTACTAATTATTTATTTATTTTTTGGATTAATTACTACACAACTAAATATACCTAATTTGTTTTTTCCTCTTCCAATTTTCTTCGTATTTCTTTTTTACCTCACATACATTTAAAGAAAAACTGCTTCCTTTCAACCTAATAACAATGTACTGGACTCGATTAGATCTTTTATTTTAATTCCTTTATTGTTTATTTATTTTTTTAAAAAGAGTTGAGCGACAACTTTTTTGACACGATGGGTGGGAAAACAAAAAAATAATAATATTTGTTAAATAATTTCAAAAAAATTGGATTTAAATTTTAACAGGAATATGATTGGATAAATGAAAAAATATGTATATGTATATGCTTATTAAAAGTATTGTTAAATTACCTACATATCTAATTAATTTTTAAATTATTATTTTAAATTATTTCGAGAAATTCTTTCAACTCTTTCTTGGAAAATTTATGCCCCTTTAAATTAAAAATAAATTTACTACATAATCCCTTGGGTATCTTTACCCTATGATAATTCTTTCAGAAAAGGAGTAACAGAAAAAATAACAGAAATACATATATTTGATTTATGTATAACTATTTAATAAAAAATAAATAATAAATTTTCCTATTTAATTGCAATATATACTTTATCGTGTTATAAATATGATTCCCTTTTGGATTAAAAGGGAAATAACCTGATCATCAAAAATTTTTCTGTTTATCTCTTACCATGCAACAATGATTTAGGCAAATAAATATTTTTTATAATTTATTTTTCTTTACCTTTTCAACACTTTTTTTGTTTTGTTTTTTATTTTCATTATTCGTTTATGAAACCCTCCTCTTTTTATTTTTAATGGGTGTCCGGCTCCATAAAAGCCGTCAAACAAGCGAACAGATACCAATCGCTTTTGCACTGCTTGCGGGCCTTCCCTCATTCCTTTTTTTCCAATTTCCTCCTCATATTTGTAAATACATAAAGCAATATAGCTAACTAGTCATTTAACAGGTATTTAAACTTTTTTTGTATTAAATTCTTTAATATATAAGCTTTAGACTTTTATTTTTCAAATGAAGGACAATTCTTCCTTTATTTCATCATTAATTCCTCTTTTTAATAATTGCTCTACTTAATAATATATGTATTTATATTTAGTTATTTTTTAATAATTTTGATTAAAATTGGTCTTATCATTTTAATAGTAATTCCTTATCTGATAAATCTATCGATTAAAAGCATCCCTACAAGGCTTGCCGCCCGAAACCCGATACCCGAAAAGAAAATTTTCAAACCCGAAACCCGTACCTGATGTCTTTGCCAACTCGAAGCCCTTGACACGAAATGAAAACGCTTTAACCCGAAACCCGTACCTGAAGATTTTTTGTACCCGCGGCAACACTGATCCCTACTATAGTCCTCATTTATTTCTTCAACAAAGTAGAAATGTTATTTTTAGGAAAAGTATTTTTCGAATTTATCTCAAAAGATATTCGGAATTTTCTCTCATTTGTCAAAAAATTTCTATTAGCTTTTTATTTAAAATTCCAATAATTTATTAATCAAATCTTAGCTTTTCATCCATTATTGTTTCTTTCTGTTTAATCGCTTATTTATTTAAATACTCAATCGCCCATTATGAACGCCCAAAAATATGCATATTATTTTTCTTTCATTTTCGATTAAAACCGGAGAAAGATAAACATTGCTAATAAAAATAATAAAAAGATATTTGGGAAAGATTTGAAAATTAATAAAGGAAAATATTAAAAAATTTTTAGAGATATTTATTTAAGCAGTTTTAATTAAAAATTAATTTTATTTAAAAAAATATTATAAATTTTATTTAAAATAAGTTTTAGTTGAATTTATTAATAATTTTTTATAATCAATAAAAATTTTACGAACATTATTTTCAATTTTATCTATACCATTACTTCCATTGTCATACAGTTAATTAATTAAAAAATCTCCTTGCAGAACTGTTAAATAAAATAATAGTACAATATTTAGTATTATAGAGATGAGTTAACTGACAGATACTATATAGCATTTTAATCAAAATCTATTTAATATATCCATTTAAAATAAAAATGATTTTAGATTATGGATATTGATCCGGTAGAGTATAAGGAACGTCAAAAGGAGGCTGACATTCTAAGGCAGGTTGCCTTTCTTGGTGTGGTAAGTCCTAATTTTTTAATTAATGTAAATTCGGGGTGTGACATTTATGTCCTACATTTGCAGCCTAAGGATAGAATAATATTAAATTCCGAAATAATTCTATTTAATGTTACCCTCTCAAAAATACGTTTTAGGACTTTAAATATCCATTTATTAATCCTAATTTATTTTAATAAATAATAAAATTAAAATTAGTCGGCAGCAATAATAGCAACATTATTTTCAATTTTATCTATACCATTACTTTATAATTATCTTCAACAAATTCATTCACAAATGCAGCATGAAGTAGAATTTTGTAAACAAAGGACAGGCAATATTTGGAAAGAGGTTGGAAGAGCACAAGTAATAGCTGGAGTAGATGACAATACAGCATTTTTCTTGGAAAGGATACCAAGACAGGCTGGATATGATGTAAAAATAACTTTGAAGACATTTATTTGATGATGTATTAATTCCAGATTCCCCCTCCAGGGGCAACTGTTGGCCCTTCAGCTGCTACACCAGGCTCTATCCAGGGTCATCAAGCCGCATCAGCAGCACCGTTACCAGCCGCCCCATCAAGTGGTGCCCCAAAAATACCAGCCTCTACATTAACTGCTTCTACATCAAGATATGCTTCACCATCCTCTGCTGCTCCAGCTTCTTCTGGCCCTTCGTCCGCAGTACCATCTTCTTCCGGCTATCAAAGACAAGGAACATTCGGAGCTGGAGGAGGTGCTCCAGCTGGTGCTGGACCTTCAAGTCAAGGTACTGGAGCTGTTCCAACTTCTAGTCCTGTTGCTACTCCAGGAGCTGGTCCAACTACTGTTACTCCAGGAGCTGGTCCAACTTATGCTACGCCAGGAGCTGGTCCAACTACCGCCACTCCAGGAGGCAGTCCAACTTATGCTACTCCAGGAGCTGGTCCAACTACCGCCACTCCAGGAGGCAGTCCAACTTATGCTACACCGGGAGCTGGCCCAACTTATGCTACAGGCACAACTCCAACAGCAGGTGCAGGAACTATCCCAGCGCAAGGCTCCAGTCCAGGCGGGGGCCGAGGAACTGGAGCAGGATCAGCAACTGGCCCGGGACCAACTTCAGGTCCCGGACAAGGCGCAGCCAAGCCAGGACCAGGTTGATTTTAATTGATACATAAATTATTCTTCAATACAATATAGTTGGAACAGGTGCGGGAACTGCTGGAGCAAGACCTGGCGCACTGCCTTCAACACGTCAACCAGTGTCACCTGTAAGAGGCGGTGGACGCTCGGGTGGTGGAGGAGGAGGATGTTGTGGTTGTGGCGAGAGTCCACCTGGCCCTCCTGGTCCTCCTGGAACGCCTGGAAATGATGGAGCTGTGAGTTTATTCTTTTTTGTATATTTTCTTAAATCGGTTAATTTTAAAGCCAGGAGAACAAGGTCAACCAGGCAAAAATGGACCTGATGGTACTTTGAAATTAATATAATATTAAAATTTATATATACATTACATCCATAAATTAATATCTGTTTAGCGCCTCCTCCGGCTCCTGCACCTCAAGTCGAATTGTAAATATTTTGTTTTGTCATATTCTAATATTAATATATACTTATATTTTAATTTAAAATTAGCTGTCAAAACTGTCCTCCTGGTACAGCTGGACCGCCAGGACCACCAGGACCAAAGGGTCCAGCAGGTTCAGTTTTTCTTATATTAATTGATATTTTTTACTAATCAATTATTCAAATTATTCCATGTTTTTATTTATACTAGTTTATATAAAATTTATTTGATTAGGTGCTGCTGGAGCAGCTGGTAAAGATGCAGATGGTGGGATTCGTGGTAATCCTGGACCGCCAGGACCTCCCGGCCCTCCTGGATCACCTGGCTCTACTGGAGATGCCGGAACTCCTGGGCAGCCTGGAACACTTAGTTTGTTAAATTATTATTCAGTTGTAAATAGAGGACTGTTTCAGAAGAAGTACCTGGCAAACCCGGACCTCCTGGTCCACCAGGAGCCCCTGGCCCCGCAGGAACTGATGGACAACCAGGCAATCCTGGCAAAAATGGTTTGAAATTAAATACCTATCTAATCTTTCAAATATTAAAGGAACTGATGGAAAGGAAGGGCCACCTGGAGAGACAGGACCGCCTGGCTCACCAGGAAAGCCTGGTAGTGACGGTGAAGCTGGTCCTCAAGGAAGCCAAGGCTCTGGGTTTGTATACATAAAAGATCTAATTAATTGTTGTTTTTATTCTTTAAATTTAAATAATTTTTCAGTGGAAGTTGTGACCATTGCCCACCTCCAAGAACTGCTCCTGGCTATTAAAAAATATAAATTTATTTGGAATTTTTGTAGACAAAGTTAATAAATGAAAATTTAATTTTTAATATAGTTCCATATATTTCTTTGATTATATTGTCATTTTGATGAACTCGATTTGATATTTAATGAATATTTACATTAGTATTTAGTCATATCTATAAAATTGACAAACATAAATATTTTTTATTAATTTTCAAAATATAATTTGTTGGTTAATAATTCCTTTAAATAACTAAAAATACAAAAAATACATATATATAATTCAATTTTCTAATTATTTCCTCTATTTTCAATCTTTGCAACTTCATTTTCCCCATTAATTTCAATATTTCCATTCTCCGCCAACATTGGTTGATCACTCTCTTTTTGGATGGGATTTGAATTATTAGTTGTATTACAAGTAAATATTGCTGCTTTTCCTGAGCCAATTAAACAAAAAATTCCATTACAGAGGAATAACAAAACTGCATGCCCAATAAAAATTCGTGCCCATTCACTTGGTAATGAGACGTTTGGTGTTAATAAATAAACAATTGGGGGAACAAGAAGCATGGCAATACACATTATTATCTAAAATAATTAATTTATTTTTTCTTGTAATTAACCCCCACTCCAAAGCATTTTAATAATTTTCTAAAAATTATTTACTTGTATTTTTGCACAAATAAAATAAGCATATTGCCTTCCAACTAAAGTCGAAGATTTAAAAAATCCCCCAGTATTAAACCCCAACATAGCAACAGAAAGAATAATAAATGAGAGAACAATCCAAAAAGACAAATGTTGGGTAAAGGATAATGCCAAAAGGAAAATAGCCATTCCACTATTTTAATTTAAATTAAATTTATTTTTAAAAATAATTTTTACCAAAAGGATATAGAATTGAAGATTTTAACCTTAATTTAGAAAAATTTAAATTAATTTAAGATTAAATATTTACACCTTTAATGTTTCATCTATTGATATTTTATCACTCAAAATTCCGGCAAATATTTTTACACAAAGCTGCAATAATGTTGGGAATGCTGCTGCAAAGCCTGTACTTAAAGTTGCGTATTTAAGAACCTTAAAAATATTATAATTTTTGTAAAATTAAATAATAACTTCGCGGATATATATTGGTGAAGACATTATCTATATATAAATATTCTTTTTAAATTAATTAATTAATTACCATCATTTGTATTGAAAACCTTTATAAATTAAAAAATAAATTTAAAAATATAATTAAAAATTAACATATTTCCAATTGCAGCAACACAAATGGCCCAAACAGCTTTATTAGTACAGATTGATTTGAATGGAAACTATAAATGAATATTATTTTATGTTATAAATCCTAATAATTACTACTTTAGAATTGTGTTTGTAACGTCCATCAATAACTGTTGATTTTCCTTCAGTTATTATTCTCAATTCTACATCATTTATTAATTGATGTTCAATAGCTGTATCTCTAATTTTTAAAAATAAAATATTTTCCTTAATTTTAATTTCTAACCTATAAAATATCCACCAAAGACTAATTAATCCCAAAGTAATCAAAGCATGAGCATAAAAAGCAAATTGCCAACCAAATATTTTAGCACTACAAAGAGCCCCAGATAAAGGCATTGTAATTACTGGAGCTAACTTTTAAATTATTTTAAATAAATAATTTAAATAAAAATATATGTGCCTGTATAAAGCTAGTTAACATTCCATTAAAAAGACCATTTTCAATAAGGCTAGCCCATTCAGCAGTTACAGCGCTTAAATATTTAATAAGTAAGTGCATTATAGAATTACCCAATAACAGGAAAACAAACAGCAAATCCAACTCCCTGAATTAATCTTGCAATTAAAAATGGAATAAATCCTTGAGAAGCAGCACATGGACATATTGCTGTGCTTATTGCAGAAATAAGTCCAACAATTGTAAATATTTTACTTAAAATATTTAAATTATATTTTAATTTTTAAATATTTAAAACCGGCATCCACATCGTTTAATTCCAACACCAATTCCGGGAATTGCGAGAAGGGCCCCTAAAGCAATAATTCCAAGAAGTAAAGATTTTTGTGTTGAAGTATAATAATGATCGGCATATTTTTCGATTATTTTCACTCTACCATTTATAACACCATCCCATGTAATGTTATTCAATTCTATATGCTAAATTGAAATTTTATTTTGTAGTATATAGAAGATAAACAGAATTTTTAAGGGCAAAGTTATCCAAATATTCTAAATAATATTTAAGAGAGAAAAACAAATTAAATTCGAGCTTTAGATCAAGGCAAATGAACAAAATGAAACCATTTTCTAATCCCTAACTAAATTCAATTATTAACATCTATAATGTGACAAATAAATAATTTATAAAAATTAAAAAAAATATACCCCGTAAATTCTCCAATAGAAGCACACCCTCTAATATAAGCACCCTACAGGAGGGGATGATCTATTAGAGAATTTATAGAGCTATTAGAGATCTATTAAAGCTTCTATTAGAGAATTTACGTTATTTTTAATTTTATTTAATTGCTGGTAAGATTTTTTTTACTCCTCAAGGACCAAAATAGCTTGTTCAAAATTAGCTCTATCTCGATAATTTTTTATAATTTTTATAATATTTTTATACTCGAATAAACTATCATTATTATTTGTGATGCTCGAAAAGAAATAGCGTTGTTTTTCTTTCGTTCTCTACCCATATTTTGACCCCATCTAATTATTCCCTTTCCTTATTTATTGTAAACCCTATTTTCCCTCCCACTAGTTTGTTGTGGTTGTTGTTCGTTCTTAGTTAAAATTGTTAGTTTATTTAAAAAGAGAAGTAAATTTGTTTATTTTGTGGTTAATTAATTTGAAAAGAAAAGAGATAAAGAGAGAGAGTCCAAATTTTATTCGATATTACTTGGCGCTCCTGAGAGTTTTTATTTTTATTTACTACGTGGCGCTCCTGAGGCAGAGGTTGTTCTTTGTGTGGTGAAAAAGAATTTATTTACGAATTGACTTTTTATTATTGATCTTCGTTGGCCCCCGGTGGACCAGGAATTTAATCTTTTGCAACAACAATATTTTTAGAAAAGTTATTCCTCGGTGGGATAGTTTTCGTATTGACAACTTTTTTGAGATTTTTTTTCAAAAAAAATCTTATTCAGTTTTCCCTCGGCGGGTTGATTGAATTTTCTGCGTATCAAATTTTAGCCTCGGTGGATAAAATTTGAATTTGGCTTGGAAAACAGCAAAAGAATGAAAAATACACCTCAAAATATGAATCAATATTTTCTTCACCATCAAACTCAAATGAATATTCCCATTAATACGCAATTAGGACATCCTAACAATCAATTCTACGGTTTCCCAACTTTGTTTTACCATCCAAATTATGCCTGTCCTCAACAAATGATATACCATCCTTCCACTTTCATTCCACAACAATCGATTCATCCGACTGAACAAAATTCTAATTTTCTTTCCGAAACTACGTCACAAGCTGACATGGAAAAATTACTTTTGGAGACGATTCCCGATTTAGATGGAACCGAAGGAAATTTTGCGATAAAGAAATTTTTCAAAAAATTCGATGCATATCTAGAAGACTGGCCAGAGAAAAAGAAGATTTTTGCTCTAAAATCCAAGTTGTATGGCAAGGCAAAGAGTTTCTTCATTCTTGCAATCAAGGCCAAGCACTACAACTATAAATCGATTAAGAATTTCATCCTTTGTCAGCTCCTTCCATCTGAGTACAAAGTCGAGGAGTCAATCGAATTAGTTAAAAAGCGAACCAATTCCCCTCAACAAAAGAAAAATTTGAAAGGTCATGAGAATAATTTCAAACCTCAAAATATTCCCACGCCATCTTTCAAAAATAAGGTCAACATTCAATTTGAAAAAGAAGAATTTTCACAAGAAATTTTGGAATTTTTTGAAATGCCAATCAACCAAGATTCGGCCAAAAACGTAAGCAAATTGGAAAATTCAGAAGAAAAATTTTTGAAAAATTTGGAACCAATTGTTGAAAATGATTTACTGGTGGAAAAAGATTTGGATGTTGAGTTAGTGGAAGATTTTGAAAAAGAACAATTTTGTGAATTGGATAAAGAACTTGTATGTCCCTTAGATGGAAAACAAGAATTGGCATCTGTTGAAGTTCCTATTCCAGCAGAATGCTGTGTCTTTCATGAAATCTCTTCTGAGGATATTCCTATTTCTCGTGAAGGAATTAAGAAAGAAATTGTATGTTCTGAAAATGAAGAATGTTTTGATTTGGAAAAAGTGGAAGAATTTGTTGATTTGGAAGAAAAAGGAAGCGAAGATTGTTTTGATTTGGAAGAGAAAGAAATTGAAAAGTGTGTTGATTTGGAAGAATTAGGTGAAAAGGATTTTGTTTTGGAAGAAATTTTGGAAGAAAATAGTGATGGAAAAGAAATTTTGGAATCGAAATTGGATGTGTTTGAGAAGGATCCTGAAAAGGAAATCCAACCAACACGAGACAAATTGGATGTTTTGAAAGAAAATGACAATATTGTTAAGGAAAGAAGGAATTTGTTAAGGTCCAAATTAAGTAATGCAAAAATTTTGGCAAAACTAAGATGTGAGATTCTAAGGAAAGAAATTTTAAGGAATGATTTTGGAAATGATTTTGGTTTTGGAATTTTGAAAAGAAAAATCACGGGACGATTTTTTCACGGAGTTCGGGGGTGTTTGAACTCGAAAAAATTGATCACGCTGATCAGAGTCCCCAAGCTTTCAAAGAATTTTAAGAAGGAAATGGACTACCAATTGCAAGATTTAGAACCAATGAAAGTCTTGAAATTTGTTTCGGTGACAAAACAAGATGTAATTCATGAACCAAAAGGTGATGGAATTGAAAAAGATTGGAAGAAAAGAGAGAAGTCAAAAGAAATCGGACTGGTAGAATCGGTTTCGGTGACCGAAATTCTCACCATTGGAGTCCTATTGGAAAAATTTCATCGAAGATCGGGTTTAGTAAATCGAGTCGGCCTCGAGAACCCTATGATCAACTTTGACACTGAAACATCCAAGAGCAACAAAAGAACTACCTCGCCACCCAAGACCTTTCGCGGAAACAGGCCGAGATGGAAGAACTTTTTCTGACGTCGAGGACGCCGTCATCTGAAGTGAGCGGGATGTGATGCTAAAAGGAAATAGCGTTGTTTTTCTTTCGTTCTCTACCCATATTTTGACCCCATCTAATTATTCCCTTTCCTTATTTATTGTAAACCCTATTTTCCCTCCCACTAGTTTGTTGTGGTTGTTGTTCGTTCTTAGTTAAAATTGTTAGTTTATTTAAAAAGAGAAGTAAATTTGTTTATTTTGTGGTTAATTAATTTGAAAAGAAAAGAGATAAAGAGAGAGAGTCCAAATTTTATTCGATATTACTTGGCGCTCCTGAGAGTTTTTATTTTTATTTACTACGTATTACCTCGGGTCTGACGTTTCTCCATTCACTTATGTTATCAAATTGCCCTTCTAATTGAGAATTTACTTCAATACTCTTTTCAAATTTCTGTAGTAAATATTCTTTTAGTTTTAGCATAAAACCTTCATCAAAATTTGTGAAATTAAAACCTAAAATTTAAAAAATACCTAGGTGAACTCTTTTCAAATTTTTGTTGTAATTTAGAACTTTTCTTATACATATAAATATTTCTATTTAGAAATAAAAACATTCTACATAATTATGAGAGTGTTTTAAATTTACCACAATATTTTTCACTTAAATTTAAAATTTCTCACAATTTTTATATTTAATTAATTTAAAATAAATCCAAAATTACCATTAAAATCAATATTTTTTGGATCCAATTTCTCTCCAACTTTTTTAACTGCCATTTCTCCAATTTCCATAGCTACCATTTTTAGTAATCGGAAAAATAATTGAGGGTTATGTATAGCTAATTTAGAAGAACTTTTTCTTAGCCAGCTAGTTGAATCTAAAGAGGGTAATTCTATGCCTAGTGATGGGAGATTATTAAAGCCATCAGTTGGTTTTGAAATTGATATAGAACTAGTAGATGATTTACTAGATGAATGTTTTTCTTCAAAAGCAGATTCAAAATTAATATTTTCAAAAACATCTTAAATTAAAAAATTTTTTTTAATTAAATTATTTTCTCAAAAATTTCAATAATTCTATTACCAATTCCAACATCAATTGTAAAATTTTTCCAATGAAATTTTTCCTCTGTCATACATAAAATTGTAAAATTTAAACAAAGAATATTTCCCAACATCATTGAAAGACTTAATAAAGATATTATTAAAATAATATATCGGAAACGGCCATTAAATATTTGTTGGACAGACATTTTTTTAATTAAAAATAATTAATTTCTAAGTAATATATTTTACAAATTAATTACTAAATTGATTAGTTGATTAAAGGAGAAGAAATTAAAATGAAAATAGTGATATAGAATTTAATAAAGAATTTAATTTTTTGTATAAAAAATACGCGTATTTATTTGAAGGTCATTTTTTCTTTATTTTTTTTTGTAAAAAAATATTTTAAAAAATAAATTATTTTATTTTTAATTATATTAAAATATTTTTGTTTTATTTAGGATTATTTTTAAAAATAATTTAATCTCTAATCTCGTTAATATTAAAAACATCTATTTAAAATATTAACGTCAAAATAATTCTTAATTAATTATTAATTCATGGAAAAGGATTTAATATATTAAATATTTATTAATGATTTATTAAAAACAATTCTCGTTTGAAGATTGAATAAAAATGTTTTGTTTAAGTTAATTGACAAATTAAGCCAACAGCTGTTAAATTTTTTTCATGAAATAAAAAACAAAAATTTGGGATATTTAATTAAAAAAATAATTAATAAAAAAGAAAACTGCATTTTTAAGAAATTAAAAATCTAATAGGTGTAGAAACGATATAAAAAATTAGAACTCTAACAATGAAATATGGGCCTTGTTCTAGTTAATAAGTCGAATAAATGTTTACGATCCTTTAGTTATCTTTTCTTCTGGCTGCATTTAAATTGGAATTAATTAAATAAAATCTCTAATGAAATCTAAAAATCTACTACATAAACAAATAAAAGTGTCGGATACGTAGTTCAACTAAAAACGGCTGCTCAATTAAAGAAACTAAGGTATCTACAAGAAACCTTATCTCAGTTTTTAATTCGAATCATGCTTTTTTGCTTTATAGAAATAAAAGGTAAAAATTCCTTATCTCTATACCAAAATAGCCCAAAAATTTTTCGTATTTCTATTTTATTAAATTTTCTATTTTATTAATTTCGTATTTCTATTTTTTAAAATATTTTTATACAATTAATATATTTAAATGAGATCAATACATATATTAATCATTTTAAATCAACTATGAAATTAAAAAACACTTGTTTCTCATAAAATTTTTCTTTTTGATTTTCACTTCTCAACCAAGTCTAAAATTATTTGAAAAAATTATTATTTAAAAATTTATCAATTTATTTACCTCATGTAAGCACTTTTCCTCTTTCCAAATCGCATATAAGCACTCTTTCTTTTTTCCATTGGTTGATTTTCTGCCATTAATCCATCAATGCTGATATATTCAGAATCGGGGATTTGATTAGCTTCGTTTACTCCTCTTTTTCCAAATCTATTAAAATAAAATTTAAATTAAAAATTTCTGGAATTTTTAAAATATTTAAATTATTATTTTTAAAAAATAGAAAATATCTCTTTTTGTTTATTTTTTGTCGTTTTATTTTTTAACTAAAATTTATAAAAGTTGAGCTAAATTAAACCAAAATTAACCCAAAATTTAAAATATTATTCTACAAAATATTAATAATTAAAAATGACAAATATTTCGTGACAACGATATTTAAAAATGTTAAGAAAATTAAAACGCAAAAGGAAATCACGCATTTCGTTTATTAAGTTCAACAATACAAATAAAATTTATTTAGGTAATAAAGAAGGATTATTTGGATTTTTTTGAATATAATTGTATTTTATACATAAATATTTACAAGTTTTTTATTAAACAAAGAAAGACAGTTATGTAAGAAGTCAGATTTAGAAGGTAATGGGAATCAGATAAAACTATTTTTAATTTAAATAAATTTTATTCTGATTTTAAATTAAAGTGTTTATTTTTAAGTATTTATGAGTTTGAGTTAAGGATTCTCTAAATTAAAAATTAATTTTTAATGTCAGCACGATCCTTGAATAAATTAGAATTACGAGAACAAAAATTACACGAACAAAAATTACACGAACAATTACACGAGAATACACAAACAAAAAGTAATTTTAGATCTTTTAGGTTTTTAGATTATTTAACTTTTAGAAATTTAGATCGCCAGTTTAAATAAATATTTTCTTTTTTTTCAATTTTTCTTTTAATTTGATTAATTCCTATAAAAATATCAAATACCTCATATAAGCACTTTTCCGTTTTCCAAGCCGCATGTATGCTGATTTACGTTTTTCCATCTGCACTGGCGGCGATAAAATTCGGCATTCAGCCAAATTAGGGAATTGTTGGCATAATTGCTTAATTTCTGCTAAATTATTTTCAATATCGTCATAATTTGCTGATATAAATATTGTTAGGTTAATTAATAATAAAGAAGTTATTATTAAATGTTGATTTAAATTAAAATTGTTGGATTTTGAAATATTTGGCATTTTAAATGATGTATTTTTAATTAATTAATTTTTTAGAGAAATTTAACTAAAAATATATTAATCTTTTTGATGTTTAATAAAATAATTAATTAATTAATTCTTTTGGAGATTAATATTTTCTGCCGGTTTTTGAGACTTGCTTAAACTAAAAAAGAAAAGAAAAATTTTTTTCTAATATTAATAAAATAAAATGATAAATATTGCATGAAAATATTTAATATTTAAATAAATATAATTATTATATATGAGAGTTTTTAGCATTTATTTAATATTTATTAAGAAAGTCACGAAAATTAAAAGAAAAGTTATTTTGTTTCTTTAATTCTATTGTCATTTAAAAAAAAAGTATTTATTTGTGCGTGAGAAAAAAGTAAAATAAAAAATATAATCGAAAAAATATTTAGTAAACGAAAAATTTTTTTGAATAAAGAAAAAAATATATACAAAATTGTTAATTTAATAAAATAAAAAATCTAAATATTATCAATTAAAGCAGTAAAATAAATAAAATTAGGTTAATGAGCGTTGGATATTTTCATATTTATTTTTGAAAATTTTCTAAATTATTTGAACTTAATGACTGGAAAAATATTATTTTTGATTTTATGGATTTTAATATTTTAATTTATTAAAAGTCGTATGAAAATTCTAAATAACAAAATGAAATCATTTTAAACAAACCCCTTTAAAATCACAATAAACCCACACAAATACAAATTATTATTTAATAAAAAAGTTTTTTTATTAAATTTAATTTAAACATTTTCTTGTTTATTTTATCGTCTAATTTCTTATTATTTAATTTAATTTACTCAATTTTTGTTTTTAAATTAATTAGTTAAATTCATAGAAAAAGTTCAAATAAATTTGCATTTATTTAATTAAATAAATAAATATTTTTAATAAATTATTCGAGTGATTTGTATATGTATTAAATAAAAAAATTGAGTGATTGAAAAAATTTTTTGAGTGATTGTAAAAAATTATTTAAGTAATTTGAGTGATTGTATTTAGGTGATTGTAATATTGAGTAATTTGTATATCGTTAAGTAAAATAATTAAAAAAATATTTTTTTAAAACAGTAAAAATAAAAATAAAGCTTTAATTATTTATTAAAGAATATTTAAAATTATCTTATATTAACTTATGTTTATATTCGAAAACTAGGGGTGCCTATAATTTTCTGACAGTGTATAATTTAAAATAAACTATATATTTATTAAAATATTTATTTAATTATAAAAAATGCTAGTTAAGTTTTCCCATTAATTTTAAATTCTTTAAACAATTCTATTTGGAGAATGTGACAATTTCCGGTTTTTTCAATAAAGAATTTAAAAAAGACATATTAATTGTATGCATTATTGTCTGAAAATTGATAAATAAATTTTGATTTATTGGTTACTTTTGAAATCCCCAGAAATATCCTGAAACGTTTACGCCGAGCTTAAGCAAGGAGATAAATTTAATCTAATCTAATTTTTCTTGAATTTAATTTCAAGCCATTAATAATATATAAGATATGACATAAATATTTTATAATATACTCCCACTAATTTATACAACTTGATTCATTGTACAGCCAAATATTTTCCAATTTTCTTACGCGAGTTAATGGATTAAATCTTAAATAAATTTTAAGCTTTAATATCTATAGAGTCTTATTAATAATCTAAATATAAATGGATATTCTTAGTTAAAAATTAAAAGTATAACCAACTTAAAATATTTATAAAATTTATTAATTATAAATATTTATAAATATTAATATTATTTTAACTAAAATAGAAAATTAAATATTTTAAGAAAAATTAAGTAGATAAAATATGATAAAATTATTTATAACACCTTTAACTTTTCATTAATTTTGAAATAAAATTATAAAAATAATAGGCATATTTTTGGCCCTAAGAAGAATTGATGAGAAAAAATAATAATTATTTCTCAAATAATTAAAGTTATTTTAAAAATTAAATTTTTTAAAAGTTTTTTTATTAGAAATAAATGTTACTTTTTAAAAAAATTAACTAAGAAAAAATATTAAAAAGTTACTTTTCCTTTTTAAGAAAAAAATAATTTGGTGGCGGTGGCCATTAGCTGATAAACAAAAAATACTGTTAGAATATTCTAATTTAATTAGCTAATTTTTAACTAAACTTTTTATTTTAAAGTTAAATTATAATAAATTTAGTAAATGAACTAGTGAAAGCTTGTTTGTAATTAAAATTGCATAACTTTTAAAATTAAAATTTTATTAACATCTAAAAGGAATTTTGATTTTAATTTAATATCTACAGATTTTTATTTATTTTACAATTTATATATTTAATCAAGCAATAGAAATTTGAAACGAATAACTCAGCACTTCTTAAAAGAATTATAATTATGTATGTATATTTATTTTCGATAAAATATACTATTTAGCAATTTCTATTTTAGAAATAAAAGAAATTTGAAATTTAATAAATAATTAATTTTTAAATTAAAATCTAAATTTATTTTAAACATTTATTAAATCTAGGATTATCTACATAATATAAAATTAAATCAGGAAAAAATTTTTGCACTATTTTTTGCAATAGCTTTGTATAAATTTTAAATAAATTTATAAAAATTAATTTTCCGTGAATCTGAATAAAAAAAAGAGAAAAATAAATGTTGCAGATTTTCTAGAACGGAAATACTACTAATTATAAACTTCGCTCTCCTTTTTTTGTTACGTCTTCAAAACTCGTGAGAACCTGCTAAATTTTTATTTTTTAGAAATGAAGAAAGAGGAAGTTATTTTAATTAGTATTTATGTATTTCCGGAATATTTTAGAAAATAAAAATAAATTTAAATATAATTTAGGGAAAATATTGAAAATAAATTTATTAAAAATTTTGAAAATAATTTTAATAAATAATTTAAAAAATTGACAGATTTTTTAAAAATTAGTTTGGATAGGTTAATTATGGAAATTCTGAGAAGGAAATAAAAAACTAAATTTAAACAAAAAATTATAGAATAAATATAAAAATGGAATATTTTAATTTGTGTATTTTATAAATATGTACGTCAATCGAATCAGACAAAAGAGCTTATTCGAATAATATAAATTTCTCCGATATCAGACAAACAGCACTTAAATCCGACGACTTTTGGTCCAAAAAATCTTGCCAAAACTTTGAGAAAAAATAATCAAATATATTTAAAAAAATTTTTAGAATACTTTTTTACCAAAAATTTTCTTTTAGATTTGGGAATAAAATAAAAAAAAAGGATTGTCAATTTTCATTGACATTGAAAAAAGTTATGGCAAAAACAAAAGGCGCGGAAAATTTGTATATGCATACATATGTATATTTTTTGAAAATTTTATAATTTTTTGTAAATTTTTAAATTTTTAATTAATTTAAATAAATTTAAAAGGAAATGATGACATTTTGTCCTTTCGTAATAAGTAAATATTTTCATACCCTTAAGGAAAATCTTTTTAATTAAATCATTGAATTAAAAAAATACAAATTCTAAGAATTTACAAGAAAATAATTAAGAATTAAATTAAAATAAAGGGGTTAAGAATTTTTAAAGAATTTTTTTTCATGTGTGGGAGAATATTTAAATAAACAAAAAAAGGGAAAATCTGTGTGGCTTATTTTTTAAAAGAAAATTTTAGGAATCATGGGGTACTTTTTTTATTTTATTCTTAAAAATTCCATAAAAAATGTCCTTTTTATATTTCTTATTGAGAAACTAAACTATTACTTAATTAAAATATATTAATTTGGTTTTTGTTCTAAAATAGTACATACTTAATTTTATAAATAAAGAACATTTTTAAATAATTTATAAAACAAAAGAGAGAATGCTTTATAATATTTGTTAATTTCTAAAGAATTGTGTCATTGAAAATTTAGATATTAATTGTTCAAAAATTAGAAATCTAAAAATAAACTATTGAAAATAAAAATTATATATATTTTATTTTAAAAATAAATGTAAATTATATAGATTTACTTTAATTATTTGTTTTTCAAAGCTTATTTACGTAACATTTAAATATTCATTACTATTTATAAATTATAAAAACTATCATATATTTTCCTTAATTTAATTTGTCACAAATTCAAGCAAAACTGATTAGTTATCTTTGTATGACTTGTTATTTACAATAATAAGACAATTATCTATTCGGAATAGACAGACGGAAATGATAATTATAAAGGCCAAAATATTTACAAGAATTTTATTTTTATTCTTAAGCTTATAGATTAACAATAATTACCGGATTAACATTAAACTCTCTACAGATTAAAATTAATTTTAGTCAATGTTTAGAATGATTATTCTCAAATAAAAAATTACCTATAGACAATAATAATAAAAATTTTAAAAATTAAAATATAATAAACTATTTCTTACATTTATCAAAGGACAAAAAAAAAGTAACAAATAGACTTTCAACTTAATTCAATATCTACCCTACTTCAAAAAAATTTTTCTAAAAACAGAAAAGTCGAGACCAAAACCAAAAAGACCTAAGAAAAGTCTTGAGTCATGGCTCAAAACCACAAGTTTTTGACAGCTGTAATGAAGAAAATTGGCTAAAAACCAATTTTTCAGACAAGTCATAAATGACAAAGTTATTTTAAATGGGACATTTTTTAAAATGAAATAACAAAAGTTTCGTAAAATATTCATGAGCATTACTAAACATACTTTTTTGCACTCAAAATAATTTAATTTTGCACTAATACATAATAATATTAGTATTGTTGTTTTTCTTGAAAAATAACTTGAAAAAATAATAACTTTAAAATAATTAGGTATATAGGTATTTTTAAATTTATTTTTTAAAAATCTGCCTTTTAATTTTCAAATAGAAATATATAAATTAAGAATAAATAAAAACATCATAAAAATTAAATACACATGTAATTATGTGAGGATAAACTAATTTAAAGTTAAAATTCCGAAAAGAAATTTAAAAAATAAGCAAAGATTATTTTAAAGATGAATTACGTAAAGACTGTATTTATTACCTTCCCTTAAATAATTACCCCACCTCTATTATTTACCCCCTCTAGGTAGAGATCGAAACAATAATTACCCAGGGTAATTAATACAGTTTTTACGGTACGCATTTGTTAAATATCTCTTTAGACACAGAATTATTGTTTATTGTCCCTTTTTCACGTTTTCCATGTTCAAGAAAAATAAAAAAACTTTTTAATTTAATTTAAAATATATCCAAATCTCAAAAACATTAATTATAATAACAATATTATTTTTATGAAACTAAAAAATAAGAAAAACTAATGTTATATTAAAAATATTTATTAAATATTTAATAAAGTACAAATGCACTTACATAGTACATATATTTAAAGATAAATATATAAATATATTTTTAAATAATCACGCATATGGAAAAGGAAGAATTAAATGAAAGAATCCATTTTAAGATTATTTTTTATAAAAAAATTATTTGGTTAAAATGAGAAAATAAGCTTTTTGATGGAGTGATTTTTTGTTTGTTTTTTGTATATAAAAATGGAAATTTGAGAAAAAAATAATATACCGGAAAAGAAAAAGTATAGTAAAGAAAATTTAAAAAAGAGTGAGAAAAATATTTAAAATTATTTTAAAGAATAAAGTTAAGAAGGGATTTGAGTATTTATATAAAGTGTTATTGGCACTTTTTTGTGTGTTTTTGGAGATTTAGTGGAAAACCAAAATTAGATTGATAATTAATATTTTACAAATTAAACCCCTTTTTAATAAAACTTTCAAGGACATCAACCATTTGTTTTTAAATATTTAATTTATAAAGAAATTAAAAAATATATAAAAATATAAAAATAATGAGAAAATATTTTTTAATTCAAAATAAGACAAAACAAAATCTGGCAATGTTTTTTTGTTTTTTTCTTAATTTTTCTTTTTAATTTTGACATAAAATTTATTCATCATTTTGAATTAAAATTTTTTTTTAAAATATGGATGACCTTTAACAAAGCCACACAAATTTATTCTCTACTATATAAAAATATATTCTTCATACAAATTAAAAACAATTGAATGTATTACTTCAATTGTTTTATTATTTATTATATTTTTATCTTCACTCTTCCTTATTTTCTTCTTTAATTTGTCATTTGGCATTCATACATCTAAAAAGCATTTCTTAACCAAAATTTATTCTCTTTAGGGACTCTTATTCTTCTTAACCTTTCAATTAGCCAAGTAAAAAATAAAATAGCTGCAAGATGATAAAATTTTAAAAAATGATGAGACAAAAAATTAAGAAAATTTAGAAAAAAACGAAGTCTTTAATTAAAATTTAGAAACTTTAAAGAAAATGAGAAAAGAAAGAAAAGTTGCATTTGTTGGAGAGCCTGAAAGAAAATTTCATTTAACGAATACATATTACTGATGTCATAAAAATTTGAAAACAAGGACAATTTAAAATAAATAATTTGGATAAAATTTAATTTTAAATTACCTTAAATTAATAAGTTTTAATTAAAAATATTATAGTATTTAAAATTATTAATTTACATAATTACAATCAATTTTTCTTGAAATTATGAAGGCATAAAGTAATGAATTACACTTAAATAAAATTAATCCAAAATTTCATAATGAAATAACTAATTTTAATTTATAAATTAAAGATTAATCTTGTACAGACAAAAATGAAGATTTGGCTTCTTTCAAAACGTCGTATAAGGCTAAAAAGTAAAAATTAAAACTATAGACTTTTAATCGTATGTTTCTCCACAAAATATTTAATCAAAATAATTAATAAAAATCTTTTATTAAAATTAATATTTAATAAAAAGTTGTAAATTTATTTTTCTACTTCCAAATGCACTTTTTTAACACATTCATAATGACCTCAAATTCTACATATATTTTTACTTTATTTTGTCCTTGAATTTTTACTATTTTTTTATTTTATATTCAAATACCCAACAAAAGTATTTTACCTTCATTTTTTAATATTTGGTTAATACAAATGTGTGAATGCGCAGTAGAGCGGAGAGTAGAAAAGGAAATACACATGGAAGGAATTGGGGATGTACAAACCAACCCGGAAGGTAATCGATTGCTCACATAAACGCGGATATTTATTTTAGCTAAAATATACCTTTTAAAGATTGTTTTTACTTTTGTAAATTCTTTATTAAATTTTAGAAAATTAAAAATCTTTTATTGTTTATTTAAACCTTATATAATGTTATATTAATTTTAAAAAATCCAAATTAGAAAAAAATCTTAACAATTTATCTGCATTTATGTTTAAAAAATAATGTAAGAATCCAGGTATGTATATGTAGGTAAATAAATAGTCCACCTTCGTGCCAACTTTTTGCTCTTTGTCGTGAAAAGCTGTGCCAATTTAGTTATACCTGTATATGTATTTATTCCCATAAACAAATTTACTTCTTTTAAAATAATTTTTTAAAAATAAATTTGTTAATTAAATTAAAATAAATATTAGAGATTATTATTATTTTATGCCATCATTTTATTTAAAATTTTACATAATATTTAATTTAAATATAAATGCATCTTCGTGGTCAACCAGCAGTCACAGCACATTATCAACATAATCATTTAAACAACTACCAACAGCAACAATCTGAAGCTAGTGCTGGAAGAAGTTGTCCACAACTGGCACTTATTTTAATTACCGTAATTTTTAAAATTAAATAAAAAATATAGGTATTTTTGGTAATTTAATTGTAATCCTCACTTAAATGACCATTTGAAAAATATACAGGGTGCGGCAAATTGGCGGCCGCTTTTCTTTTTGCTATAACTTTTTTAATTTTTAATGAAAATCGTTAATTCTTTTTTTACTGGATTCCCAGTACTTTAGCAATTTTTTTGGTACCAAAAAATAGAAATTTGGTTCACAGATGATAAAGATATGCCGGTCCGAACATTTAAAAGCATCAAAAAACATTTTTTCTTGTCAAACTTTAATTGATCATAACTTCGTCAAAAATTATTCAATCCCGATGATTTTAGTACCAATCGACTCATCTTGTTCAGGCGCATCGAAATAGCTTATAATTTCATTTTTGAAAATTTTAACGAAAAATTTTGTATTTACCAAAATTATTTTTATTTAACATTCAGAGGACCGTATCTCGGTTCACTTACGTAATAGCTGCCAGATTTTGACGTCAATCGAATCAGATTGAAGAGCTGATTTCAATGATATTAAAAATTCCAAGATCAAAATCATAGCCTTGAAGCCAGACTGACTTTTATCCAAAAAATTTTGCTCGAAATTTGATTGAAGATTAAACAGACTAAATCATGAAATTTGAAGACAATTTTGATATCAAAAAAATTGCTAAAGTACTGGGAATCCAGTAAAAAAAGAATTAACGATTTTCGTTAAAAATTAAAAAAGTTATAGCAAAAAGAAAAGCGGCCGCCAATTTGCCGCACCCTGTATATAAACTAAGGGTTTCTATTAGTGCCCGGCTGGTAGGTTTTTCTATTAAAAATCGAGAAGGGTTCTAGTTTTTATTTGGTCAATATAAATATGTATATCCCTAATATTTATGGAGTAAAATAAATTTTTATCACAATAATATTTTAATTATTTTTTTTATCAAAAACTGTCTGACTTTGTTTTTGACTAAAAAAATCATTTTTAAATTACAAATATTTTTCAGTTATTTCTTTTACTCACAGCTGTAATTTTGGCAGTAATTGCGGTAATTATTTAAATATTTAATAAAAATATTCCAACTATAATTATTTTAGCTACTTAATCCATCATGGCAAGTAGTGGATATTCGAGAATTCCAAGCAGAACATCATGTAGTAGACATTTAAATAATATATTTTAAAATTAAAATATTTAGCACGGTCTTTACACAGACTGTACTCGGGCAGAAAGAAATCCTTCTCCCAGTAGAAGACTTGAAAGTTTTGTTGAAAAATCTCCGCTTCATTGCACTTATAAATTTGACCAACATGCTTTGGATAATGTTGAAGCACAAATACACGATATAGACTCTAATGCTGCAGCTGCTGAAGCTGAACATCATCAATTTTATGGTTAAAATTATTTAATTGTACCAGGAATTTGAAAATAGATTTATATACTAGAGATCGAGCCGAGCTTTACCCAGAGTCCAGGCCCAGGCATTTTTTACCTTCCTGGACTTTTCCTGGACTACATGCCCAGGCTCCGGTCCAGGTCAACAGATCAAACCCGGAACCCAGAACAGGCCCAGGCTTTTCAAAAATCTCGATATCCAATATATACCTGTTTGTGATTTAAATTAGTTTATAAAATAGCCAAAATATTTTTTCCAAACCTAAATTATAATGATTTGTCAAAACATTTTTTAAAAAGGTTGGCAAAAAGCTGTTCTTATTTGTATGGGCCTTTCTTTAATAGCAGCTCTGTTTTCCTGTACAATGGGATTATGTGCACCTTGTACCCCAGGATGTGCTGTTCTACACAGTACTGCCAGTTTCTTTGCTTGTAATAATAATTTTTAAATAATTTTTAAAATTATTTATTTAAAAAGTTTTGTTTGCCGTTGTAGCTGCTTCTGTTTTCTTTTTCGCAGCTCATCGTGTTGATAGCCGTTTTGTCGTTGTAAATTATTTTTTAAAATAATTTTTCAATTAAAATTATTTTAAGGGTCTTGTTGGGACTTATGAAGTAAATATATAATTTAATTAAAAAGAAAATTTTCTTTTTAATTAAAGCAACAAATTGGTGAAGCATTTTATTGTTATGTAATAAGTTGTTTGTTGTTAATGCTTGTTTTTATTTTGAGGTTTTTATTTAACGAATCTTAAATCAAAGTAAAAATTATCTCCCATCATTATTGTTAGTTGAATTCTTTTTTAAAAATATTTTCAAATGGACATGAAATTATATTCCGAAAAAATTTATTTAGCCGGATACGGATTTGGCATATCTTATTTTATCCATTTATCTAAGTCTAGATTCTATAGCATGTCTAGATTAACGTTTTATGTCATCCTAATATTAATTTTTAGATAAAAAATTATCAATTAAATTACATATTTTAAATAGTTTAATTGGTGCCTACCATGCTCTAAGAAGCTCTACGATACAAGCAAACCAAACAGCTGCATGTTTGGCACGGCGGGAACAAATGGCTCCTTTAGCAGGCCATTGGTCAGAAAGTATAAGTAGAAATGAAAAAATTGTTTTTGGTAAAACAACTGTTTAATATAATAAGTATAATCAAAATTGATCTTTAAAGTATAATTAAATTTCAAACAAGCCATTATTTATTTATTTTGTTTGGGCTGGCATTAGAATACATACTCGGAGTATAATGAAATCTAACCTTGGAGTTATGTGTTGCGGATCAGGGTTTTCTTGAAGCTGGAAACATGGGTTCGGCCGTGGAAATTCTCAATGAATGTTGGGATCGAGAAAACGGCGGGCAGGGATTGCCTTTAAAATAATTCCAAATTTTTAACATATAAGTGAAATCTGGAAAAAAATTTATAAAAAATTTTATAAAGTTTTTTTTCAAAGTTTTCTTCAAAAAGGCAAAATTCCGCAGGTCGCAAGACAAAAGAAGATTTGCATCTAAAATCCAAATTTATAATTTTTTAATTATTATAAAATTCCTTTTTCTCTTTTGCCTTTTTTTAATTTAATTCTTTCTCGCCTAAAAATTACATAAAACATTAATGCATTATCCTAATGCCAACCCTATTAAGTCTTAATTTAAAAATTAAATTATTGTTTTATTTGTTTAGATTGAGTAAATTTAAAATTATTTAAAATTATTTAATATTTAAAACATAAAAAGTAATATTTTAAAAGACTGGAAATACCGGAAACAATTTAATTATTTGAACATATTTAAGTATATTGGAGTAAAATTTTGTATATAATAACCTAATCGCATTTATTGAACGTTAAATTAAATAGCTTCAAAAATAAAAATGAAAATTATTCCAACTATTTTTATTTTAATTCTATCGAATATTTTAATTAATTCATTATATCAAGGTAAATATATCTAAATTCAAAATTTATTATTAAAATATATTTTTGCCTAAATAATTTAACAAATTGTCGTTTTAGACCTCTTACGAATAGTTTTATTTTATAGAAGCATGGCTAGTCATTTAGGGAATTTTTTGTAAATAAAGGAAAAGCTTTTCTATTCTAGTTTCTTTACTTTTTTAAAAGTTACACTAAATGGTCTTAGTTATTTCACGGTCTTGATCACGGATTTCTTAGTTTTACTGTTCTCTTTAAAACTCACTGTCACGTGCTAAAAAAAACATTTGGATCATTTTGGGATGGAAAACAAATCCTTATTAAAATATTTAAATTTGTTTATTATTTTAGTTCAAGGAACTCAATTAAAAGGAGATTTTATTACCCATGATCCAACAATGGTCAAAATTTCTAATGGAAAATTTGGAGTTTATTCGACAAATATAGGGATTGAGGCGAGACAATCATCTGATTTAATTAATTGGGAAAGAACTGCTTCCGCATTTCCTGCGGGTATACCTTGGGCTGTGAGTCTGACTCAAACACGAAACACTTTTTGGGCACCAGATGTTTCCTTCCATAACAACAAATATTGGCTTTATTATGCTATTCCCGTCAAGAACAAAAAACAAACAGCATATATTGGATTTGCTACAAGTCCGACTGGATTGCCAGGTACATGGGAGGATCAAGGAAAGGTAAAATAATAAAATAAAATTTGGTAAAAGTTGTTATTAAATTTATATTAAGATAGTAAGCTCAGAAGATGGCGGTCATTATAATGCTATTGACCCAAATCTACTTGTGGATGCTCAAGGCAAATGGTGGTTAACGTTTGGATCATTTTGGGATGGAATATTCCAAATTGAGTTAATCCCAAATGATGGGAAACCAAAACCTGGAGCTTCTTTAATAAATATTGCTCGTCGTCCTTTTAATGTAAATGGGCTATAGAGGCGCCTTTTGTTTTCTACAAAAGTATGAATTAAGCCATTTAATTAGATTTTGCATTTTTAATTGAATGTTGAAAAAATAATAATTTTAGATGGTTACTACTATCTATTTGCTTCTTTTGATAAATGCTGTGATGGATTACAAAGCACTTATAGTATTCATGTTGGCCGTTCTAAAAGTCCAAATGGGCCTTATTTTGACAATAAAAATGTATCAATGATGAATGGGGGTGGAATGCTTTTGTTATCTTCTAATGGAAATGAAATTGGACCTGGAGGACAAAGTGTGTATACAGCAGCGGGTTTTGGTGATTTGTTAATTTATCATTATTATGATAAAAATGATAATGGAATGCCAAAATTGGGAATAAAGAAGATTGGATGGGATTCAAATAAATGGCCTAAATTGTCTGATTTTTAATGAAAATATTTGTAACTCGTCCTCCAAGATGTTTTTTTCAACGTCGCAGTTCGGGTCCGGAAGCTTTAACGATATTTTAAACTTTTTATATGGTGTTAATTATGTAAATGATTATATGTATTTTTTAAATAAAAAAAATTTTTTTAAAAAAGGTACGCGAATTTTCTTTTTTGTTTAAAACACGTGAGCTAACTAGAGTTACTTCTAAAATATTGTCTGATTTTTAACTAACTCACTTCCTTCTTTTTGGATTAAATTTATTTAATAAATTAATTTTAACTTCCTTATTTCTGCAAATTTCTAAATATTTTAAATATATATTTGATAAATTTTTTATTTTGTCATTTAAAAGAATAATTGAAATAAACAGAAAAATCTGCAATGTTTTCGAAAATTAGTATTTTACTTATATGTAATTGATCTAAATAATTATCAAATAAATGAATTCTGATAAATATTAATTTTATTTAAAAATTAATTCAATAAAATAATATAAATATGTGAAATACTATACATTTTATCATAAATATTAAGATAAAAATTAAATTTAAATTAATTTAAAAAATTATTTAGAAAACTTTTCCAATATTTTTTGCCACAATAATGATTTTCAAATAAAAATTTTTGTATAGTCTGTGCGTAGTTTTGAATTTATCTTTTATTTCCAAGCCAAAATTGACACATGTATTTCCGTATATAAAATTTCAAACCAAAATTTTAAATTTATTTAAAACATTTAATTGAATGACGATATTAATTTTTTTAATTTTACATTTTTTTTGAATGTTTGACAAAAATAGAATTCTCTTCTAAAAATCTTTTATGTAATATTCAGGTATGAAATTGAAGAATTTTATAAAATAATTTTTTAAATTAAATTTAAAAAAATTAAATTAAATTTTTATAAAAAGCCCCATGTTTGTTTAAATTTATATTTTTTCTATAAAAAATAATCATTTAAAAAATTTTATTTAAATTTTTTTATTTTAATATTAAATAATTAAGAATGAATAATATATTTTTAAAAATAATTGGAATAAACTCTATAATTTTAATAAAAATTTTGTTATTAAATAAAGGTAAGATTTTATTTTAATATTTTTAAAATTAAATATTAAATTTATTAGCTGAAAGTGCACAATTAAAAGGAGATTATGTTGTCCATGATCCATCAATTGTTCGTTTAAGAAATGGAGATTTTATAATTTATTCAACACATAATGGAATTGAAGCGAGAATATCTAATGATTTAATTAACTGGAAAAGGGAAAGTTCTGCATTTCCTAAAGGCCTTAAATGGACAAATAAGCTGACAAAAGATAAAAATGAATTTTGGGCTCCAGATATTTCTTTTCATCAAAATAAATTTTGGCTTTATTATTCTGTCCCATACAAGAAAGGGAGACACACTGCTTTTATTGGTTTTGCTACAAGTTTAAGTGGATTACCGGGTACATGGAAGGATCATCAGACGGTTTTAATTTGTTGAATTTTTAAATTTAATTTATATTAAAATGTTTGTAAGATAATAAGCTCGAAGGAAGATAGTCGTTTTAATGCAATTGATCCAAATCTTCTAGTGGATAAGAATGGCAGATATTGGCTAACTTTTGGATCATTTTGGAATGGAATATTCCAGATTGAACTAGATCCAAATAATGGAAGGCCATACCCGAGATATAAACCTTTCAACATTGCTCGACGTTCCCGAAAGTTTGGCCAAGCCATTGAGGCACCATATGTGTTTTACAAAAGTATGAATTAAGCCATTTAATTAGATTTTGTATTTTTAATTTTGATATCCATTTACAAAAGTTCTTTAGAGTTTACAATTTTGAAGGCTAAAAAAATATTAATTTTAGATGGTTACTACTATCTATTTGTTTCTTTTGATAAATGCTGTAAAGGATTACAAAGCACTTATAGTATTCATGTTGGCCGTTCTAAAAGTCCAAATGGGCCTTATTTTGACAATAAAAATGTATCAATGATGAATGGGGGTGGAATGCTTTTGTTATCTTCTAATGGAAATGAAATTGGACCTGGAGGACAAAGTGTGTATACAGCAGCGGGTTTTGGTGATTTGTTAATTTATCATTATTATGATAAAAATGATAATGGTACGCCAAAATTGGGAATAAAGAAGATTGGATGGGATTCAAATAAATGGCCTAAATTGTCCGACTTTTGATTAATTTATTAAAAAAAATTTTTTTATTTACTTTTCATTAATCAAATATGTAAAATCCCCTTTAAATTAAAAAAATATCTAATAATCTATTCTTTACATTAAAATTGAATTACATACCTTAAATTACCTATTTTATATTTTAATTAAATTATTTTCATTCCCAAATTATTTTTTAAAAACCTCAATAAAATAAATATTTTTATAAAATTTATTATTATTATTTAAATTGTTTATTTTCTTTATATCCTTTTCTCCATCTGGGACTTTTCAAGAAAACTTTTTGTGATGTCCATCTATTATTTTCAATATAAACTTTTAGTATAAAATAAGTGTCAGTTCCTTTCTCCTATTTTTTAAAACTAAAATGTGAGGCTATAAAAAAGGCAAAATATCCAACCAAACACTCTCAAAAAACAAGCAAAGCCTTAAACTATTTTTAAAATATTTTTTTAGTTTTTTCTTACTATTAGAAACTCTTTTTTGCAATAATTCAAAGAAAAGGATTATTTTGCATTTATTATTCATGCCATTTTTTTCTTTTGTTTTTGCAAAAATTTACCAATCCCGTTGGGTTTTTTCTTCATAAACACTTTCTCATCTTTTAAATAATATCTACCCATCAAATAAATTTAAATTTTTTTAAA